GGGGCAGCAGGCACCGTGAGTATGGCCAGAGTCCCAGGGGATCGAGCTGGACCCAGCAAAGAGAGGCGTGCACGCTACCCAGTGCCTGAGCAGCCCTGGAGGTCACAGCCCAAGCATGCGCTTGCTTGCAACCTGCTCTGCCCTGACTCTGAGCAACCTGGGCAAGACACCCTCGGGTGGGTGGGAAGTGCCTGTACCCTGCAGGGGCTGCCACTGGGCTGTGTTGGGCACGGGCTGCACCACAGAGAGGTCCCGACCTCAGAGGTGGCCATGGCACCTTAGGTCCCAGGAGGATGGCAGCTGTTGCACACTGACCTCCTCCTCAGGTCCCCAGTTGGGTCCCCACTCTGATGTAGAACAGGCAGCCCCCAAAGGCCCTGCAAGCCGAGCTCGCGGCAGCAACTCACTGACTGGCAGTGAGGGGCCAGGGCCAGGCACTCAGACAATGCCTCTCAATGTCACGAGTCCAGCTGTGTCTGTCACCCAGGGTGACCTGAAGTCTGTGAGGGTCTGTGAACGGGGGGAGGTGAGACTAAAAATGCATGGCAAGGAGGACATGGGACTGGCCCAGGAGGGTACTGCTGCAGACACAGCCTCCTCCCACAAGCACAACACCCACAGCCACGACTCCAGGCCGCACCATGCCTCCTGCTCAGCCCTTCATGCCCCGGCTGCCTGCAGCTCCTTGGACCCCGTCCCGGTGCTCAGTGTTGTTTAGCTGTTGCCTGAAGGAAGGTGAGCACACAAGTAAAATTCACACACTGACAAAGACCTTCATATATAAAAGTACACACAGATTTTAACGGAGCTCCTCTTTCCTGAAAAACACACAGCATACTATGTTGAAGGCTTCTTTCTTAACCACTCACATTGCCCTGGAAGCACCATATGCCAAGGACTCGCCTGTTGGCTTCGACACTTCCAGCTGCCTGGAATCCACCAGCGCCAGGGGTCTGAGAGGTGAGGTCTCCGAGGGGCCTGTGAGCCACACACACGGGGGTGGCTGACCCTCAGGACGCAAGGTGCCCCTCCAGGGTGTCACCCCCGCCCCCACACACCACCCAGAGTCCGAGGTCACACATGGCAGGGACTCCTCCCAGGGTGTCCTCACCTCTGCAGCACCTAAGCAAGACCCCACTGAACCCTGGGTTGTGGCTGCCCAGATATCTGGTGCCCAGGCACCCAGGACCCTCCTCGAGCCACAGACGTGGCAGGAGGCAGGACGTGCTCACACTCTGAGGAAGAGCACACAGGTGTGGGACCAAGCCACCCCAGCCGGCACTGCCTCAGGATTTCCAGCCTCACCTCCAGCAGCACCCCTGGCCTGAGTCACAAGAGGGACAGGATTCCAGACAGGACAGCTAGTATAGGCTCTGGAAATGCATCTCTGTAGCCATGCGAAGAGGTCTTTGAGGACCATGCCAGCTCAGCAAGCCACACCCCATGACAAGGCTGAGTGACAGGGTGGCAAGGAGTAGCCGCCACCCGTTCAGGGCAGCTCTGGCTCAAGGATCCCCCACCCCACTGTGGCTCTGCCAACCTTCCTCAAAACTCCACACTGACCAGGACTCGTACTGAGCTCCTCCCTCCCTCTGCATGAGGCAGGACCCTCCCCTCTCTGTATTTCTCAAATAAATCTCTTGTACATCTAAGTCCACCATCTCTGCTTCTGGGAGGACATGGACTAACAGAGGGATACACAGATCAGGGGTAAGTGCTAGATCATTTGGCAAGCCTTCCAGCTACAAAGTCCATACAAAAAAATTAATCCCATTTGTGTACATCAGCAACAAATACAAAATTATATGTTAAAGATATCATTTACCACTGGGCTGGGGATGTAGCCCAGTGGTATATCACTTGCCTAGCATGCATGAGGCCCTGGGTTCAAACCGCAGCGCAACCACCGAAAAAAAAAAAATCATTTACCTTAATGCTAAAATAAAAACAAAGAAAGAAAGCCCTAATACTAAACATAACAAAGGTCATGCAAAGCTAACGTGGAGAAATTTACAGAACTTTGAAAGACATTAAGAAAGGTCTAGGCAAAAATGGAGAGATACTATGTTCACAGACTGAAATAAACAACTATATACGGGACCTTTCTAAAAACAATTTAGAGATACAGTGGTACCTCAGTTCACAAACAATCCATTCCATGGTGGCTGCAGTCACGTTCTCCTCACCCAGTGAAGTTTTCGAACAGAAGCAGAATTTTGCTAAACTCGTTTGTGAATTGCTCGCAAACAGAAATGTTGGTGAACCAAGGTGTAGCGGATTGACTAATGGTCAACTCGTAATGCCCAGATGAACTGAATCAGCGTGGTCTGGGCGTGGAGGATCCACCTGAAGATTGTTACCAATAGCCATAAAAAGAGAGCGGGAGGGGAAGATGGGGGCTGTTGGTTTTCTAGGAGAAGCTTGCCCTGGATGGTTTTCCCGATGCGAACGAGGCCGTTCTCATCGGAGGAGGAGCTCAGGACCTCACTGCCGCTGGGAATGTCTGCTGTTCTCATCAGGGGAGCTCTGATCTTCACCGTGAGCATCGCTTCCTGGCTCCAATGTGGATCCCACAGCCTGGTAGCACATATCCTTTGTCTTAGGATTTTCTGGCTTCCACCACTGGCCTTTGGGCCTTCCAGGTGCAGATCCTCAATACAGACAAGCATGAGACACTGCCGTGGGCTCTGGACCACTGGCTGGACTCGAGGAGGACACTGCCTTGGACTCTAAGCTGTTATCTGGACTTCTGTGGGACACTGCCGGGATCCAGTTGAATGCTTTGGGCTCCTAGTGTGTGGTTAATCTTCTTTGCATTTGACTCTTTGGGTAATTATCATAAATAAGCTTAAGTTATGTGCCCTGTATTTAATGTATTCCCTTGCCCAATCCTGGTGACTTAAACACGAGGTATTATTACAGTCCCAATCAATTTTTAAAATAGAACTGGATTCTAAAGCTATGAAAGAAAGGTCAGAAGTAGCCCATCCCAGCCCCAGTGCATGGTACAGAAAGCACTGGAGAGGCCAGAATCTATCACAGAGTGACAGGGACCAAGACACTTCGGCATCAATTCAGGGACAGACAAGCAGGTCAAAAGCACAAAACATACACCCGGGGAGTCCTGCTCACAAGTCATCCGGGCCAAAGTTTTCAACGACTGCTGCCTGGAAACTTGCTTCATTTCTGAAAAATGGGAGCACCTGGCCTCTGCCCTGTACTGAGTGCTAAATTCCAGGCAGACAGAAAGCAAGATGTTAAAGACCAGATACTTCATGAGTTGTCGAATAAAACTCGAGACCATTACCATGATTCTGGTGTGCGGACTGCATCTAAAGTCACAGCTAGACACTCTACGGAAACTGGCCAGATGTACCAGGTCCTCGTAGCAGATGTCACCAGTGCAGCTTGGCCTGCTAGCACATGGGTTGGACCCACACACTAAATCCAGTGGTTTCGGGGCTCCTGCACACACGAGTTCTGCACCTAACAGGACAGAGTGCTCTTACCCAGTCGGTGAGACTTCTGGATAGGTGGTACCCTCCTGCTTGTGTTCCTGTCTGGGGGTCACGCTTTCCACAGGGACTTGTGAGTCACAGGGCCAGGCGTCCTGCGATGGCCTTCTGCTGAGGCTGCGCTTTCATTGTCATGAGACAAAAAGGCAAGGGCAACAGGCCTCCCTCTACCAGAGCGAAGGCGCCCATAACCCTGAACCAGCTTCCCCATGTAGGGCTTCCCTAGTCTTTAACACAAGGCTGCAAGGTGAGATAGGGCCGCTTCTGAAGAAACGGCTGCACCCAGGGCCTTGGGGCCTCTGCCTGCAGTGACTGTGCACTCTGCCCCTCCTGAACACGCCCATTGGGGCCTGCTCAGAGGCTTCTGTTGTGACGACTCCTGGCCTGCGCAGTTTCCACCCCAACACTGATGACATTTTCTGGAGTGGTTCCAGCATAGGATGGACCCCTGCAGCCACACAGGATAGAAGTAGGTTCTGTGAGCAAGTTATAGTACTGTGATTTCAGGGAAGACTTGTAGTGGAGAAGCTGGCTTCAAGTATTAAGAAATTTTCCAACATTAAGAAATTTTTAACTCAAATCAAATCTACATCCTAAGGCAGCTAAAGGGACACAGCATGCAGAGTACTGTAATACTGATTATGCCCAAAGCAGGCTGTAAAGAGTGAATTGGCTCATTTATAGAAGTGAGTCCAGCCAAAACCTACATGCCAAGGTCAGGATAATTCCCACCCAAATTCTATTCCCACAACTAAAACCTTGACTAAAAGGACAGTGTTCTAATTATAACTATGTATTTTGTCTATTCTGCTCCTAATTCAAGACTGCTTTCTCTTGTCCTTTATGAGCCTTGTTTACATTACTTTCCCTAGAAACTGCACACAGCTTGCCTTCACCCTAATAGATTGCCAATAAGTCTAAGTCAGAGCCTGGGGCCGGCCAGGGTCTCTGTTGGTTACACTGGCCTTGCTCATCCTGGCCCCCACTTTCTCGCAGTTCTTTCAGTTTTATTTCTCAGGGCTGCATTGTATACTGGCCAGGGTGCTGGGACCTAACTGCAGGGATCCCTAACAACTGGTGACCATCTTGGGGGCTCAAACCACAAGCAATCACCTGCTCAGTGAGGCTACTCAGAATAAAAAGAAAAAAAGAATCAATGACACAGTGCACCTCGCATCAAAGTCAAGGACAAGCACAAAAACCTGGAAAAAGAGGCATGTGCTTCAGATGTGAGAAGGTAGTAAAGGTAGTTAGTCAGCTGGGACTAAAACATGGGGTAATTACTTTCGGCCCAAGCTGGCCTGCAGTGTTGAAATAAATGCTGCAAAAGATAACTATAATCGTTGTTTGTTTTTCACAACAAGAACTTTAGATATGGCACTTAGGGAATGCGTCAAAAATAACATCCAGACAGCTCAACAAAAAAGAAAAGGTAATTCCCCTTGGGACTAACTGAGCCCTTGACAACTCGGAGCCTTGGGTACTCTGCTTTGTGGCCGAACAACGGAGCCTGGGAGCCACTCAAGCTTCTGCTCCATGGCACTCAGCAGCTGGTGAGCACTGTTTAATTTCAGTTTTAGAACAACTGCTCTCTAACAGACAAAGAGATTTTATTAGAAAAATCAAATTATAAATTTTAGCTAACTGATAAATGGCGTTGGTGTGTGTAGAAACATTTCCTGTGCACTGCAAATTCTTGAATTGTAATTCTAGGGTTAACTTGCTCTTTTCTGTACTTTCTTGATGAAGAACTCGAGGTTAGTACTGTTCTACTGGCCACCAGTTAAATTTTAAAATGTAACTATCTGAGAACAGAAAAAAAAAAGGGAAGAATTTTAAAATTTTAAAAGCAGAAGACAAGTTTGTTATAGAAGGTATATAGTAAGTGAGATAGAGGAAAAATATTAAAGCTATAAGTAAAAGAGATACTTTTGATATGAAAGGATATTGTATGTTTGTCTTGCTAGAAAGACAGACAAATATCTTTTTTTAAAAAAATTGTTTAAAAGCAAAAAAATTGTGGAGTTCAAACAAAATAACTACAGTTGGACAGACAAGTGGACAAACAGACATGTAAGATAATTTATAAAACTAGAGTGCACTCAAATATATTTAGCCTAATTGAATTACAGTACCCTTTTGTAATTTTTAGGTTCATAACTATAAATAAGACTAGTCAAAACTTTTTGAAAGTCAACTATCAGAGATCTCTTGTAGAACTAGAATCAGAAGGAATGAAACCTCTTTATGCCTGTAAATGTAAACCTTTTATAACAAACTAGAAACCAACAATCAAACATACATATTTTCTTGATAAATCGCTCCTGAACACCTTCTCAATGTACCTAGTTCAGTTCTAGTCTTTTTTTGCCTTTAAACAATTTTTTTAAAAAAGATATTTGCTTTAATTTAATTTAAATTGGCTTTCAGATATAGATTATTAAAGTTAAAGGCATGCTTTCTTTTTTTAACCTATGTTGCTAACAGATCAAAATTATATATATTGTCTAAATGTATATTGTCTAATCACTCCAAAACTGTAATTGGTTACAAATACTGTATTAATTATTGATCTATTTTTATAGATTATTGAATAAGCTTGGTTAAGGTAATTAAATGAAGACCCCAGACTACTAAATGGGACTCCCCTTGGCGAAAGGAGCAGCTGCATGGAAATATTTTCCAGACTTTGCTCACTAGGGGAACCTCAACAGTTTCCATGATTTTATAATAGACTGACCTGATAGTTTTCATAGCCTTGTAAGAGACTTATATCAATAAATATTACTTAAATGTGTTGTTATAATATGTTTACATTGATTTTCATCAAAGGGCTAAGTTCTAAATATATTTTGATATATGTTGGTCATTTTCAAAAGATTACATTTTCTGTGAAAAAAAAAAACAACAAAGGCTGGGGATTTAGCTCAGTGGTTCTGCTACCTGCCTCGCAAGTGCAAGGTCCTGAGTTTAATCCCCAGTACCAAAACAAAAAAGCAAAAAACAACAACAAAGGTATTATTGAAAAGATGTTTTTGGTACCAAACCAAAGGACATAAGGTTTCATATGATTCTAATAATTACTGTTAATTTTTGGTGTATTAAATGTACTCATGCTTTTTGACTGTACAGGTTTTCTAATATATTGTTTATTGTAATAACATCCTTTTGATTCAGGTGTTTGCCTTTCTCAAACACTCTATCTACTTATGATAACAAGTACATTTATAGGCTGATATATTTTCTTTAGATGTTATCCTATCAAAAGATAACAATTTGGGTAAGAGCTTTTTTGGTGTTTTTAGAGGATGAGTACTTTTAAAAACAGCTCTTTTATACTAAGATGGACATTTAAGTGTGTTACAAAGATAATGTCATCACGGTTGTTGTGCTAAAATGTGTGGCTCTAGAGTTGAAGCTTTTTTTGTTAACATTTTACAGGAATTCAACTAGAACAACCATGATTGATAAAAAATAAGTCTTCTAACGATATTTTCTATTTCAAAGTGCTTGATATCCAGATATAATTATAATAAGTTCACTACTCCCAATGCAATGCTAATGATCTTCTCTTCTAGGTGTTCAACAACTAAAATTTAGAGACCAGAACTAGAAAGGTAACTGGGCTAAGAAGATAGCCAACATTTTGGCTTTGGCCCTTCAAGGTCTACAAATAACCCAGGTCATGAAAGAATCTTTTCTACAAGATCCTACAACTTAGGTAAGTCACCCAACCTCCTGAGCAGGGAAGACTGCTGGACACCAAAAAAGACAGCAATCTACAAATGTAAAATGGGCCAAAGGAGTGTCACTTGAATGGACAAATCTCCCATGCTTTCACAAAAGGTGACATGGTCAAACAAGGCCATGACACATCCTGATGGCTGACACTGACAGGAGCTGAGAAGCTCTGTATAGGATTCAAAGTAATGCCTGAGACTTAATTGATAATAGGAAGATAACAAGAAGTTAATTCGTATTCATATAGGTCTCGCCTTAACTTGGTCTTGAACACCCAGGAGTAAAGTATAACCAAATGATATATAAAGTCAAGACCATAGTAATAAAGCTAGATATACTAAGGGGCTCCAATTGCTGACCCCTACGGCAGTTTCCAACTACACAGATGACTCAACACTGTTAGGGTCATAAAAAAAAAAAAACTATGATAAAATTTATAGGCATCAACAAGACTTTAAGAATTTTTTAGCTAAAATCGTTTTTTAAATTATTAATTTTTAAATCTTTTTACAGCTAAAATTAAAAGAAAAATTATGATAAAATAATCAGACCAATGGCTGGCTGGTCCGAGTGCAGTGGTGATCAACTAATTGATCACAACCAGTTAATAACCTCCATTATAAAGGGTCTAAGAGCCAACATGTTACAATCACTATTTCAGTCCTTTAAGAACAGTTTCTAAACATGGCTCTTTCCCCAACCTGCTTTTTTATTTTCGTACTTATACTTTGATTGTACATGCTCTAATTTCTTAAAAAATTTTGTTTATTCTTGCCTATAGGCTGCCAAACTCCAAGTGATCATATAGATAAAATCAACAAGTGTGCTAATATTTTTAAACCAAAATCCACCAGACTAACTTTATAAGAGTTTATAATTGCTAAATTACAACATGATTTTTATTTAAGGCCCATTAAATCAGCTTCCTAAAAGAGAGCCCCTAACCGTGGTCATCCGTATGCTGACCCTTCTCAGCTCAAAACAAATTGAAACTATTCCCTTTCTCTCCCAACCACAGTAGGAGATGCTCTTTATTTAAAAAAAAAAAAAAATTATTACACAAATAAGTCTAATGGCTGGCTGGTCCGAGTGCAGTGGTGATCAACTAATTGATCACAACCAGTTAATAACCTCCATTATAAAGGGTCTAAGAGCCAACATGTTACAATCACTATTTCAGTCCTTTAAGAACAGTTTCTAAACATGGCTCTTTCCCCAACCTGCTTTTTTATTTTCGTACTTATACTTTGATTGTACATGCTCTAATTTCTTAAAAAATTTTGTTTATTCTTGCCTATAGGCTGCCAAACTCCAAGTGATCATATAGATAAAATCAACAAGTGTGCTAATATTTTTAAACCAAAATCCACCAGACTAACTTTATAAGAGTTTATAATTGCTAAATTACAACATGATTTTTATTTAAGGCCCATTAAATCAGCTTCCTAAAAGAGAGCCCCTAACCGTGGTCATCCGTATGCTGACCCTTCTCAGCTCAAAACAAATTGAAACTATTCCCTTTCTCTCCCAACCACAGTAGGAGATGCTCTTTATTTAAAAAAAAAAAAATTATTACAAACAACTAAGTCAGTTAAACACATTATAAGTCCTTGTGACCTGAGTCCATTAACCTCACGGGGACAAACCACTGCTGGGTGTACTCACCTTCCCCTAAAAGCAGTTATATAAACAAAAAGGGGAGGGAGGGTACAGCTACCTCGTCAAGCTCAACTAGATCTTGTTACTTTCATTTTGAATTTTTTAAATACACCTATGGAAGCTAAATATGCTCCACTGAAACTCCACTGATACAAAGAAAGATCTACAGACACGTCCTAGACACTAGTGTTGTCAAAGGATGTCTTAACTAAAAGGTAAATGGCTCAATACAATTAACAACATAGGGGCCAGGATATGCTATTTTTCAACAGAAAATAAGATGCTGTGGCCATCCTCCCAGAATGTACCACCAGGGACCAAGATGATGGATTCACTGCAAGCAGCATGACGTGACACCCTGCTCGCTGAAAGCCATTCAACGGCAGGATCTGAGCGGCTTCCCTCGCCTACAACGGCCCTTGTACCTGCAAAGATCACCAGACCTCATCCCGCTGATGTTTTCAAAGAGAAGGGGGAGATGCAGAGGACTGTAAATCTGATTATGTCCAAAGCAGGCTGCAAAGGGCTAACCCTACAACTCGCTGTTTACAGAAGTGAGTCTAGCCAAAGCCTGTGTGCAAAGGTCAGGACAATTCACACCCAAATTCCATTCCAACAACTAAAACCTTCTGACTAGGACAATGTTCGAATTACAGCCATGTATTTTGTCTGTTCTGTTCCTAAATCAAGACTGCTTTGTCTTGTCTTTTATGAGCCTTGTTTACATTACTTTACTGCAGTAGCTTGCCTCACCCCAACTGATTGCCAATAAAAGTTAGTGCCTGAGGCTGGTCAGTGCCTTTGTTGGTTGCACCAGCATTAGACTCCTGGCGCCCTGCTTTCTCTCTCCTAATTCTGCCTTTTAGTTTTCTCAGGCCTGCACTGTACACTGCTCAGGGTGCTGAAACCTATCTACAGGGGTCTCCAGTAACAGCAAACCAGACGTGAGTGGGGCTGCTCTCTGCTGCACTGAAAGCTGCACAGGCAGACTTCTGGGTTTCCAAGTTAAATACTATAGTCCGTACTGCAGCACAGCACATCAAACCGGGCAATGAGCTGTCCCTGTATAGACTAGTCAAGAAATAGCAATGAATCTGAAAGATAATGGTTTTAATTTTCTAAGTTTACACTATGTAACATAAAAAAAGGCAGATTTATGTGACTTGATATGACATTTTGCTTTTACAAAAAACAGTTCCTCCCAACATCTGGTCAGCAGTATATAAATATTTACAGTGAAAAAATAGGTGAGGAAAAAGGAAATCTTCATTATCCACTTTCTTTCCAGTGCTTGTAAGAATCTGAAAATAAAATCCTCCATTTACCCTTGAGTCATCTGCACTTACACACTGTTCTGGCCGGTGGCTTCAAAAGGCATGGGCTACACCAGTTTCTGTCAGGGCTGCTCCTACTCTTTTCTATACTGTTTTAGAAGTTACATGAAACAGTAAATATAAAAATGTAAACCTTGGGAGAAGAGGAAGTAAGAGCAAGCACACGAAGAGGGTACGTTAGGATAAATATTCTCTTGGGTGATTTTTCACAACACAAAAACCAAAATAAAATGCTCTGTGTTTTCTTAGCAGGGACATCTTGTTTCAGTTTATTACAGTAACAAAAACTTCCCCTAAAGAGGATGTTAAAAAAATAGCATTGACATTATCCTGAACACACCACTGCCCTATGCTGGCTAACGGGAACTGTGATAAATACAAGCAACCACTTGGACAGCATCGTGGTGTCTTCTCTGTGAACACAGCCAGGACGATCTGACCAGCAGAGCAGTTTGTCCATCGCAGCGACATCACGCACTCACCTCCGGTGGACACGTGACTGTAACCCTACCAGATGCCGGGCCACTGACAGACACTGCAGGCCTTGGTGGCAGGCTGGCCTCCAAGCACCTGTTGTGAGCTGGTGTTTACTGATGGAGTCTCGTGCCCTCACGTGTGGGATGTGCGCCGTCCCCTGGAGCCCAGAGACACGCGGAGCCTGGGCTCCCTGGCCTTGTAGTGTTCGTTAAAGTCTAGCCTGAAGCTCAGGAACCGGAGACTTTCATCGGGGCTGGTAGTCAGTAACACCAGAAACTGCTGCACGATACCCTGAAAGAAACAATGGGATGGCCATTCCCAACAGGACCCTCCCTCCGAACAGAGCTTCCAATCTGCCTGGCTTTTCCTCACCGGCCTCACCCACACCCATGAGGGGTCTAGGAGCTGAGTGGGGATCTGGAGGTCCCGCAGCCTACCCTGACTGCATGGCAAGGAGTCACTGTTCTTACAAATACCAATCAGCAATGCGAATGTTTTATTTAACGCCATCTACCCAGTGGGTGTTTCCTTCTGCCCTTAAAGACTCCAGCATACAAATCTGGCCCCATGATTATGGGAGCGGATTTAATCACAGGGTCCCGGGTCGCCTCAGAGTCAGGGGCTTTGTGAACAGGATGCAAGGGGACACATGTTCCTGGGCTTCATCAGGATCGTGAGCCAGAAGCCTGGGAGAAATTCCTCAGAGAGGAGTCCTGGGCTGTGCCACTCACCTTCCAGGCCTCCCCTGCTGCTCCCTTTCCTCCAAGAGCACAGCGGGCCCAGGCAGGGCAGGGCAGCGCACAGAGCTCACACACAGCATCCTGCCTGGCACAGAACAGACTGCAATGCACTGACACCCATTTGTCACTCTAGGTGACAGCAGAGGAAAGCCCCTAGAAATGACACTGCCAAAAATGCAGCCTGCTTCCTGTAAGACAGGAGACCCAAGGACCTGTTTGGGTCTGCATCTGAGAGACTCATTCACGAGCAGCCATGATGAGCTATTGAAGAGGAATAGTTGTTCTGCTCTCTAGGACAGCATCAACACTCCAGAAATAAGGGACCCTAAACCAGTATGCCAGGGCCTCCAAAAGGGGCACAGCTCGGCCACATGGGCCCTGCAGGGCCAGCCAGGCCATGCCCACGGTGGACACCATGTCCTTGGAGGCCTGCCCTGGAGCTCTCCATCTACAGTGTGGAGCGGGCACCACTCCAGCCCAACAGTGACCTCAGCACCGGCCAGGGCAAGGGGCCCATGCCCCAGCACACACCTGGTAAAAGTGAGTCAAGATCCGCAGCTGGGAACACATTTTTGGTATGGACTCTTGAAATTCTTGAATCCTCCTGTTCTCTTCCTCCTCATCTGCCGCTGTCACTCCCCACTGGCCCTGAAGAATCAAAAGCACCAAAGTTAGTTTTCTCACAACTCATTGTTTTCAATGACCATAGCAACACTGTATAATACATAGCAGTGATGTGATTGGGCCCAAGCTAACAGATTTCTGCTATTACAGAGAGCCTGTATCTTCCTGTCATTTTGGACATAATTTTTATTCAGATGATATAAATATGTACTGAAACAATAGAAGAAATAGAGAGAGAACCAGAGTGCTTATGGTTTCAGAACTCTGGGAGGCTGAGACAGGAGGACCCCAAGTTAGAGCCCAGCCCGTACAACTCAGGGAATTAGTGGGACCCCATTTCAAAAAAAAAAGAGAGAAAAAGGGCTGAGGATGTAGTGCAAAGGCTGTGGGTTCAACTCCCTGTGGCATGCACACACATGCACGCGCGCACACATACACACACACACAAGCAGAGTGAGTCCCCAGCACGCGCGGAGCTTTGTGCTTTCGTAACTAAGATAGGAACGCTTCTGACCACTCCCTTGGAGACATGTGCACCTGCTTCTACTTTTAGAGGACTTATTTTCAGTCAGCGGTGAGTCTGCCTAAATGCTGGGCTGAATCTCATGCCCGTGACTCAATCACTAACCCACAGGGTGGCTCAGGCACGGCCAGGTCTGTGCGCAGCCTCCCCAGCTCCTCGGCATCGCCCAAGCCATGCCATCAAGAGACAGCTGGGCGACATCCATGGGACAACTGGCCTCCTGTCTCCGACATACCTAACGCCTGTTCTCTCAGGCACAGCAGGCTGTCAGGCCAACGGGGTTCCCTGATGCGGGCTGCCCAGAAATGATACTGAACAGTAAAACTGAACATATGGTCCAAACTGTTTGTCTCATTTGGCTCAGATCACAGCAAATACAAAGAAGCCCACACGCAGCCCGCTCATTCCGTCTCCCCAGCCGGGGCCCAGAACACTTGTTAGGAGGGACCCCGAGGACACCCCAGAGTGCGGCCTGGACTCTGACCCCAGCCCCAGGGCACAGCGATATGGTGCTGGGCTGGCTCCGGAAACGCCAGTACCACAACACAGGCACGTGGGTGCGCAGGTTCCGATTCTCGGGAACATGCCTGTCCTCTTGTGCGAGAACACGACGGCTGTCCAGGACCCCAAGTAGTGAACGCGTCTGCATCTCATGGAGACGTCAGCAGGAAAGCTGTTCACTCACTGGCGAGAAGCAAGTGCGCCATCAGAACTATAGAGCACAGATAAAAGCCGCACCTCCATCTCATGCTGCTGCTTCTTCTCTTCAAACTGCAATCGCCGCTGCAACTCTTCCAGAGCGGCTCGGTATATTGCGTCCTGAGTGTTCTGAAGTTCAATGATCTGATCAAACACTGCTCTGAGCTGGTTTAAAAGTACCTGAAAAGATAGGACCATTTCTTATTAGGACTTAGGCTCCCTGAGTTTTTTAAGAGAAGCTTTTCTAATTAGAAAAGCAGTGCGTGCAATGTGTGGACGTAGTTTGTGCTGAAATCCGGTCTGCATGGTAACTGAGCCAGATCCATGGGGCCCCCAGGACCTCAGGTCCCCCACAGAGGGTGAAGGGGACTGGAGGACCACAGCAGCAGCAACCCCTGCCCATCGCCTCCCAGGTGCCCACCAGCCAGTGTGTGCCACTATGTTGATGTGGCACAAGGCCTGCCCTGTTCGGCTCCCAGACCTGTGAGCCAGAGCGAACTTCCACTCCGTATAATCTGTCCCGAGCTGTGCATTCTGCTGTAGCAGCAGAAAGTGGACTAAGACGAGACAGCAACCCTGTGAGCTGCTCGCACAACATTTCCCAAGTCCTCCCTACTGAGCAGCATGGCACAAGATCATGACAAAACACTGTCATTCTGTGCTACCTGCCATGGCCTAAATATGCTCTGTCCCCAGACTTTAAGGGTCAGAAACCTGCAACCCAACCCAGCAGTGTCAGGAGGTGCTGAGCCCTTTAAGAGGGACCGAGTCCTCTCCTGGGAGCTGGCTGTAGCCAAGCAGGTTAGCTCCTGTTCCCTTGCGCACCTCCCTCCAGAGCTGACGCAGGAGCTGAGCCCATGCAGGCACAATGCTCTTGGGCTTCTAAAACTCTCAGCCACACAGACCTTTTTATGACCACCCAGTCTCCGGCATTCTGTGATTACAGCAAAAAACAGACAAAGACACCACCATGACAAGTGCCACACACTGAGTCGATGGTGTCCTGTTCTCTGTGCAAATCGCATTTTATACAAGGAGAGAAAGGCTTAGCACAGGGAACAGAGCTCTGTGCCTGAAAACCTACCAACACCCCGACACGTGTCTGCTCCTCAAGAACACCACGGAGGGGCACTGTGTCTGCTCCCTAACATCACAGCCCTGCCTCTGGCCCCTGCTTATAAACCCTGCACAGTATTCTCCACATATCTGCCTCATCCGTCAATCCCCATGCTAGTACGGCAAAAGACAGAAGCAAGAAAACCTACGACACAGGAGAGTTAACCTGAATATCATATGAAATACCACATACCTATTGCAAGGCCACACAGCAGCGGGCAATGTACAACCAAGGGAAGGGGGAGGTAACCCAGCTTCCCAAGACAGAGCCCTCCAGGGTCCTGGCAAACACCGCAGCCTGGGCAGAGCATTAGCACCCCCTTCACATGAGGAATAGGACAGTGTTCTCTGTGCACAAGCTAGGGAAAAGCAGGAGGCCCTCTGGGTGGAAATAAAGAAATGGAACCCCACTCACATGTACAAACATTCCAAGGAAACCTCAGCTCATCCAAGAAAGTGCAGAAATAGGAAAATGAATAAAAGATCAAAGTGAAGACATGAACAACACTCCAGACCAGCCCAACTGTGGCCGGCAGAGGACGTGAGTCCAATGGCTGGACAGGCCTCTCGCCCTGCTGCCCATGGCCAGGACCCCAAGGATGCGCAGCCTTCCACTCCCTCTGCGTGAGATGGCAACACTCACTCAGGCACAGCAGCGCCACTAACAGCTGAGCTCAGGCTGGGTGTCAAGGGAAACAGGAGAGAAAGGAGCATTTGCTAAGAATCCAGACCCAGCCGCTCCAGAACCCAGTGCGGCAAGATGAACAATTCACTTCTCTCATGTTCACCAAGGCAGGGCCAGCTAAACACCCTGCAATAGCAACAAACACAATGGAGGCCTGACCTGGGGGCTGATGAGGTGGTGCCATCATTGATGCCACAAACACTTATTTTATGACAAAAAAAATGAAACAAAAGATCAAGATGGTTCAATTTTTGCGGCTGCCTTGATGTCCTGAACTGATTCAAACGTTTCACTTTCGTGGTCACTTAAGGGCAGAGCCGGGAGTCACACAGGGCCAGACCTGGTAAGGCAGAGGAACATACAGCGTCCTGTTCTTAGGAGCTGCTTTTCTGCTGGGTGGCACAGTGGTCTGAACACCCCTCCTAAGGGCACTTGGCAAGAGGATCCAGAGCTAGTCCAGAGTCTGGGGATTCATGGCAGTGTCTTCTGTAGTAACATTTTCTACATTTAGACACACCCTATTTTTGGTATTTCTCTAACTTGTCTACATCACTACAGTGACCACATAAAAACAAGACACTCTGGAGCAACGGTCAAGCAGCTTGCTCAGGGACTTGACCCTGGAGGGCATGCCCAGGCCTCTCCTAGGAATTTGCAGCAACTGCAGCTGCACCAATCCACGGTGTGATTCGGAGCTTTTTCTATATCGCACAACTCCGAAAATGTGTGTTCACTGCCACTCTCAGGCTGCTGTGCCTAACTTCACATCTGTGTGTCAGAACAGCCTTGGTGTTTTTAGCAAAAATATTAGACTTAAAAATCTGTTAGTAATACATTCACTTTATATATTTTATTTATTTAAATTTATTTTACATAGTAGCTTCCTTTAAAAAAAAAACTAGTGACTACTCAGAACAAATCATCACCTTTGGAGTCAAACATTTGAAAAGGCTCACTCAAGAACGAGGATGCAACACCCACTGACCGCCACAGGGAGGACCCTGCGCACAGGACACGCCCTCCCCTGCAGGTGGCTCAGGCAGGAGCTGGACTTTCCTGTCTCCAAACAGGCTACACTGCTGTGCCTCCCCGGCCAGGAGCATGACAGCCTGGGCGTGATCCTCAGTGGTGCCAACATTCTCCAAAAAGCATTAGATTTGTGACCAAGTACCGCTGTAACACTACTGTGCACTGGCATACACAAGCACTCACACCAACTGCTTCAGATATCAGCAGCAGCACCTAGGTGCTGGTCACTCTGCTGAACATTGTATGTGACTCACCAACCCACTGCAGAGACTGGTACTGTCCTTTCAAAGCAGGACATACATCAGGAAATATCAAATGGGGCTCGTACTTCTTTGTGACCAGCAGAGCCCAGGGTCTGTCTGTCACTGGCAACTTTTCCATGGGACAGAGCCAGCTGGCCCATGCACAGGGTGGAGGCCGCCTCCAGCTGGGAGCGGTCACTCTGTCACTGTGTCAGCTGACGCAGCAGCACGGACATGCTCAACACCCTCCAACAGGAAGTGAGGCTGAAGGCCTGCGAACACCTAGATGGATATTCTTTAAATTCATAATGTCATTCAAAGTATCTTCACCACTTCTACGGTTATCTCAATCTATTTATAAAAACATTCTGTGTAGATGCATCTCGGATGTCTGCAATTTTTTCACATATATCATCAATAATTCTTTAACGATAAAATTTACTGTATCAAAAGACACTTTCTTGGCTATGGTGGCTAAATTCGACACTGCAGTTTACACAATGCATCCCTTGGCAGGGCAATGTTCACAGGAAGACCTGGCTGAGGCAGGACAGTCAGAAGCAGACTCTGCAGACCTCACTGCCCCCAAGGCTCTGCCCAGGCCACACACTCCCTTGCCCTAGGCCTGGTGACACCCCAGCCCCAGCAAGGCCTGCTCCATGGAGCCACCACTTTACAACAGGGCGGGAGGAACAGAAGGCCAGCAAAGGCTGAGGCCTGAGAGTGTTCTTGATTCATCCTGACACACCACTCATTTTCAAATGCTCGTAGTCAGACACTGATGCTCAGAGAGTAAAATAATGAAAGATCGCAGTCCCTAGATGAAGCAGAATATCACCTAGCAGGCACGGGCCCTGGGTCTGACACCCGCACAGCACACAGGAGGGCGGGAGGAAGGAGAACAGAGCCCAGAGGCTCTGCCCCTCCATGGCATCCCCGGACATGCACACCGCTTCCCTCTGCACTGTCCTCTGCGGCCTCGCAGCTTACCTTTCTGTGACTCAGACCATCAGTGTGGTTAGGACAGTGCTGTTCCTCTCACCTCTCCACACCCACCTGAGGCAGTTAAGGCACGCTTCTCTCACCTGCTTTGCTAAAAGTCTGTTCAGAAACAGGAACTCGGACCTTCAGACTCCCACCCATGTCTGTCATGACCAGGTGGCTCGCTGGCAGTTCCTGCGAGCTGGCCTTACCCTGGAGTCACCATCCAGCAGACAGCGAGAGGTGATAGTGTCCAGGAACGCCTCGTGCGCCGCGATGATGTGGTCCAGGTCCTGGGCCTGCTGCACTCTGTTCCAGAGCTCATCCCATGAGCACTCGAGCACCTGGAGGCCACAGTGGGCACTTGGGATGGCCAGTCCTCCCTGGAGGACCCTCTGCACCACTGACCCCTGACCACAGGGCACACACATACCTCGAACGTGATGTAGTACTGCATCTGGTGGATGAAATGCACCATCTCCGAGGCCAGGATGTGACACTGGTGCAGCACCCCTGCGAACTCTGCAAGAGAGAAGATGTCAGCGGAGGGGCACATGGGGACAGCACAGGCAACGGAGGACCCAGGCCTCCCGTCCTGGCCATCAGCAAGAAGCAGCTGGCGCCCTTCACCGTACCAAGGCCTGAGCTACCTAACGGAGCAGCACCATATCACCCCCCCACCAGCTGTAAGGCTCTGGAGGGACAAACCCGACTACGAAGTCTCTCTTCATAGAAAGGCAGTACTGTGAATGAATGGAAGCTGTTTTGTGGCCTCTTCACAATTATTCCAGTGTCTGTATCTAAGGAAGCTGCGTGGACACGGGCCGCCGGATAGAAGAAAGAGAGAGATACACTGGGGCCCCACAAGGCTACAAGACCACCCACTCCTGCATTTCACACTCACGCCCTTCTCAAGTTTCCATGACCAGAGCCAACTTAGCGCCAGTGTGACATTGTGTGCTCTTTCCTTTCCTGAATTCAGCCACAGATGCGTTTTCCTTGTGGAGAACCACCATCTTCCTGTCTTGTCTGACAGCAGGAGTGCACAGGCCCCCAACACTGCCGCACAGGCTCTGCACAGGGGAGGGAGAGACGCCCGATTCCTCCGGACTCTCACGAGTACAAACTCAGTTCACAAGCACAATCTGGCTGAAGACTTCAATCAAAGGTGCTGCAGACAAGAGACCCACGAGCAGTTCACTTTGGAATTCTCCCTACTTCTCCAGTAGCTGTCATCTCTCCCTTCCTCTCTTCCCGTCTTCAAGTGAACTGTCTTCTTCTATTTAGTAAAAATCTATGCCTGAAATAGGAGTGTCTTTCTTTTCATGGTTGACACACAAATACATAATTGTAAAAGCAAAGCCACACTGGCACTGAGGCCCAATAACACATAAAGAACTCCCTGCTGGGCGAGCACTGGTCTTATCACAGAATTAAGCAGGACCATGTACCCTCAGTACCAAGGAAATAAGTGGGACTGGCTTGTGACTCTTCATGCCCTCTGCAGGCTGCTGGAGGAGCATCAGGTGTGGTGGGCCCCATCAGAGGCCCCTGCTCCAGAAGCCCTGAGCACCAGAAGCTCACTTTCAGGAATCTCTAGGACACACCTGCCTCACAGCTCCAGGGCCCTACACCCACCGCCTGTCTTCATACCTCGTGACTGACACCTTGGCTGGGTGAGTCTAGGGGCTGCGGGGCGTGGCTCGGACTTTTTCTTGTCCTTGCCTATGCCACACTGGGAACTGAGCAACTTCCCTCCTCCGCGCCTTTCCACCCCCAGGTCCCTGCCTCGGAGCCAGCACTGGGGACCTGGAACCTCTCAAACCCTGAGCCGCACTCAAGCTCTCCTGCCCAGCTGTGGGTGCCAGACACTGTGTCCAGCACAGGGAAGGCAGACCTATGTGCATCTAAGGCCACCACACTGGTCCAAGCACCCGCCTGATCTCAAGGCTCCGGACCCAGGACACACTGTAAGGAGCACAGCTCGTCACTGGCCCTCTGGGCCGGCAAGCAAGTGAGGTGTCCTGTTCATGGCTAAAGCACGCTCTGGAGCGTGACGCAGCACTGCAGGACTCTTACCGCGTCCTGTGAGCGGTAACAGAAGCACTGTGGGGCACCTGTCTGTTCCGCCTCAGACTTAGGCTGGCAGGACATTACTACATTCGCTGTATTACAAGACGGACTAGCGGGTTAAGTGCTACCTACAAAGTCCCCTGGCCATAAACAACTTTAAGTACGTCTTTATAGACCAAATAAAATAAACACTAACACCCAACAGAAACATGGGAAAGCAAATTATTTGACAACAAAGAAATACAAGCAGCAAAAATAAGGAAGGTGTTCAGCGGTTTTAAAAGCATAAAAACAATTGAGGTGAACTGCCACTTTCACATATCAAACTCAGTTCACATGGGTGTTTAAGATCCAATGCTAGCAAAATGCAGATGCTTGCAACTTTTAAATGAGGAGTGCTGGTCTGTACTTACAGGGACGTAAATGGGTACACGTTCTTCACAAGTAATCTGACAGTGCACCAACAGTCAACTATAGATACCCATATCAGTAAACAACAAGTAAAACTAAAACCCACACCTATCACCCAGGAATTCCACTTTCCATGCATCTACTCTGAAGAAGCACTCAGGGAAAAAAACAATAATAATAATTAGAGGCAGGAGTGGTGGCGCACGCCTGTAATCCCAGCACTCGGAAGGCTGAGGCAGGAGGATCGCTGTGAGTTCAAGACCAGCCTGGGCTACATAGTGAGTTCCAGGTCAGTCTCAACTACATAGTGAGACCCTGTCTCAAAAAAAAAAAGAAGCACTCAGGGGCACACAAAAGCACGTTAGTGAAGATGTACGCAGGACCTGGGGGAAAATGATGTGTCCAGGGCACAGTGAGAGGGGAGGCTGGAGCCTGGCTCTGCTCACTGTACGGGCACGTTTTCACAGGTAGAGAACAGTCCAGGGATTTATCAGCTGTTACCTCTGGGGAAAATGTCCATGTTGATTACTGAGCACTGTGAGAGAAAAGGCATCCATCCACACAGGCCACAGTGCATCAGAAGCCACAGCCCAGCCTGCAACCCTGGATTCCAGGCCCCACCAGAGCAGGAACCATAGCCTGGCAGGGAGGGAGGAATGACACTAGGAACAAGTCTCAGGCTACCTGGAATCTGGCTCATCCACAGCAAGGAGCAGCTGAATCCACTCCTCAGTTGCATCAAAAAGAATGTTGGGGAGGCACAAAGGAACATCAAGGAAGGATGTGCCCGGGACACACTGAGGGAGTAACCAAGGGCAGGCAGCACAGGTGGCCCTGGCCCACACTGGCAGTGTCCCTCTTGGCCACCTCTGAGGACCCCCAGCATCGGGATCCTCTGCAGCAGCCCCCAGCCCTGGGGCCACACTGCCGCACGCAGGTGGTGTCACCTGCAGACCAGCCTCAGACCCAGGAGAGAGGGGAGGCCACGGACTCCTTCCTTCAGAGACTGCGTTTCCTTTTTCACCTGGAATAATTACTTTTCACCACTCCAAGGAAGAACCAAAGGGCATACTCAGTTCAGTTTCTCTTTAGAGATATATACTTATGGAAATAATTTCTCAAAGATTCTGACCCAAACAATTTCAATATGAAAACATTAAAATGAGTCATAATTGAAGTCATTCAATATTTGTAACACCAAAATAATCTTGACTTTCTGACACCTGGGAGTTTTTACTATGGTTTTCAATTGTAACATAATACAAAACGTCCTGGCTTATGGACAAAACATTAAGGAAATTCTAAAGGGAATATAATTAAGACACTACAGGAACTTAAATGAGCCAGTGACTTATTAAATGGTTTTCTTCTCTGAAAAATTGGTCATTAAAAAAGTTAAAGTACACATACAAACACTGGTGAAAAATAAAACTTTATGGTCTGAGCAAAAATCTAGCAATTGTTTTTCTTCCCTGTACTGAAGTCAAGATGAGCAATGTCACACACAGGCCTCCCCCAGAAACAACCTCAAAGCACAGCAGCACGCCGGCCGACAACGCGGCTGTACCTGGCATGGTCCTCAGCAGCTTCGCGTTGCACATGTGCCCCTTCCGGATGTCCGTGAGGATGTACTCCATGCGCTTGGCCCGCCACAGGAAGTTAAACACCCGCAGGTAGTGGCTCATGCACTCCCGAGTGAACACCTGCAGAGGACAGCAGGAAACAGGCTCATGGCACTCGCTCAAGGGCTCCTCCCAGCCCGGCCCGGCCACCGTCCTACTGTAACACCGCCACTGTTCACGTGCCGGGCCTGGCAGACGCACCACAGCCGAGGGCAGCTGGGGGATGGGCCCTCGGGGACACAGCTGGTACGTGGCTTGAGGGCCATAAGCCCAGCTCACGTGCGGTCAACCCACTCCCTGGTCTCCCGGAGACGTGTGCACAAGAGCCCTGTCCTACGGTGATGTCCCGGGTAGGCCTAGCAGGGTCTGCATCTGCGGGCCCGCAGCCATCTCGTGGGCGGTCCTATTGCTCCTCTGAGCACCTCCACGTGCTGCCCACAAACGTGGCTTCTCAGGCAGGTGATGAGGCCTGGGGTGGGGTTGTGTCACCCTCCCCCAGGCAGCCAAGCATGAATGTCAGGAGCATCCCGAGTAACTGTTGAGGCTCGCTGGGGCAGGGTATTCTGCAAAACAACACAAACATGGGCCTGGCAGAGACTCGGGCACACACAACTCTGCACTGGAGCCAGGGCCCAGGACACAATGGCTGCCACCCCGTCTGTGCGCACCACACCCCCCCGCAGACCCCCACGGGCCGTGCTCTTAGCTCCGCTGAGGACGCCTGCTCATCCAGAGCATCCCTCGCGCACACTCTCCTCAGGCCCCTCCTCTAAGGTGGCCCTTGACCATCCTTAGGACGGCAGCGTCCCTGCTCACTGGCCCCCGTGGGCCAGGCCCCGCTGTCTAGCTGCTCTTCCCACCTCTGGTGCCAGGGCCCGTGGGGTGCTCAGCCTGAGAGGACACCGAGGTCTGCACAGGGCCGATGAGAAGCTGCTGTGAAGGGCTCCAAAATCCAACACCAGTGTGCGGAAGCCCATTTCACTGCACTGCCCACGTTACATCACTGCAATCGCCTGTGCGACCGCAGACATTAAAGATGACTAACTTAGATAATGTGGAGTGAGTCCACGGATTCTTCACTGCACAAAAGATATAATGGGGTAGGGCACTTTAAGCACCACACTCTTTAGTACAATTAAAATTATTCAATTTTTTACAATTTAATTTACTCAAACCCTTCAGGGTATTAACTCTCTTATGAGGAGGACAGTCACACTGTGTGGCATCTGCAGAGAAAAGCCATCCACTCTGAATGCAGGCCTCTCCTTGAGTGCAGGGCACTCTAGTGTGGCACACGCCAGCGTCCTCCCTACCCAGCATCCACAGCCTCTCGACTGGGCACCCTCGGCCACCTTGACACCAGATGACCCCACTGCTCATAAAGAAAATCAGTGATTTTGCTCCAATCACTTAAGACTCATGAAAAACAAGATGAACCAGAAATATCTTAAACATTTAACTGCAGAGGGCTACAATACTGATCATCCCCAAGCAGGCTGTGAAGAGTGAACCCCACAATTGGCTGTTTACAGAAGTGAGTCCAGCTGAAGCCTACGTGCCCAGGTCAGAGGAACTTGCCCCAGATTCCATTCCCATAACTAAAACCTCCTGATTAGAAGGACAGTGTTCCAATTACAATCATATATCTTGTCTATCCTGTTCCTGAGCCTCGTTTACATTAATTTCCATAGAAACCATACACTGCCTTTATCCCAATTGATTGTCCAGCAGCACCTTTGTCAGTTGCACCAGCACTGGTCGCCTTGGCCCCTGCTTTCTCTCTCTTAGTTCTGTCTCCTAGTGTATTCTTTTTCTCAGTCTGTGTCACACACTGGGCAGGGAGGGACTGGAACCTGACTGCGCGGGCCTCTGACAAATGGTGCCCAACGTAGGGGCTTGAGCCATGAGCAATCAACTGCTCAGTAAGGCTACTCCAAAGAAAAAGGAATGAAGGGGGAAAAAAAAAGAATAGACGTAGTGCACCTCACATCAAGGTGAAGGACAAGCACAAAGCCCAGGAAAAAAAGGCATGTACCCAATGATGAATATAACTGTACTGTATACCTAAAATGTACCAATAAACTCAATGAGGAAAAAAAAGAGGCACGTGCTTCAGATACTTGAAGGTAGTAAAGGTAGTCAGCTGGGACTAAAATAATCACTTTTGGCCGAAGCAGGCCTCAGTGTATCAACAAATGCTGCAAAAGATAGTTAAATATAATCATCATTTTTATAAACAAGAACTTTAGATGTAGAACTTAGGGAGCGTGTCAAAAATAACATCCAGACAGCTCACCAAAGCAGGAAAGTTAACTCCCTTGGGACTTTAACAGAGCCCTTGACAACTTGGAGCCTTGTGCTCTCTGCTTTGCAGCAGAACAATAGAGCCTAGGAGCTGCTCAAACTTCTGCTCCTCGGAAGCCAGCCACTGGTGAGACCTGTTTAGCTTTGGTTTTAGAACAACTGCTTGCCAAATCTGCTGTCTTTCATACGGCAGACTTGCCTCTCTCGGAAAATGTGGCATCGTTACAGGTAAACTCCAGTGCTTCCCCTCTGGTGGAGGTCGAGCTGCCTCCCCCTCTACTTGAGCTGCTAAAATCACAGGTGTGGAGGAGGTGGGGGCAAAAGCATAAGGAGAACTGCCTGGCCTTAGTGTACCGGAGGGTAGAGGTGGAGTCCTACGGTTGGACTCAGAGTGGAGCAGGGCTTGAGCTCAGATTGGCAAGAACTAAAGTGAGAAAATAAGTAACATATTGAAAACAGCTGGGAAAGCTCTGCAAAGCATAAAGCAAAACACAGAGAAAAAACACTCCAGGCTTTAATGGCCACGGCCAGGGCTGTGTTATCAGCCTCATGCTGCCTGCAAAGGTCTGGAATTCAAAACAAAGCCAGAGAAACAGCAACTGCTCTCTACCAGACATCAAGAGACTTTACAAGAGGATCAAGTTACAAAATTTAACTATTTGAAAAAAATGTATCTTTGTTTCAATTTGAGTTCATGTTTAATTGGTGTGCTTAAAAATTTCTTATGCATTGAAAATTCTTGAATTGTGATTATAGTGTTAACTTGCTCTTTTCTGTTCTAACTGGCAGTCAAATTTTAAAATGTAACAATCTGAGAACAGGAAAAAAAAGGGACACTTTAAATTTTTAACAGCTGAAGACACGTTTGTTAGAGGTTTATAGTAAGTGAGACCAAGAAAAACTACTAAGAAGGCTATAAGTAGAAGAGGCATACTTTTGATATTAAAGATTTTGTATGTTTGTCTTGTCAGAAGGATAAAGAGATATGTAAGACCAGAAGGGCTAGGTATGTCAAGAAGTAGGCGGAAGTGATTTATCAAGGAAATATGTATGTTTGCTTGTTGGTTTCAAGTTTGTTATAATAAAAGGTTTGCATTTACAGGCATAAAGAAACTTACATCAATGAATATTACCTAAATATGTTATTGTGATATATTTATACTGGTCATCTTCAAAAAATTAAATTTTCTGTGAGAAAAACGTTTTATTGAAAAGATGCTTTTGGCACTAAATTAAAGGGCATAAGCTTTCATATATATAATTGTAATTATCATTGTTAATTTTCTGATGTACTAAATGAATCCATGCTTCCTGGCTGGACAGGTTTTCTAATACATTGTTTACAATAATTACCTCCTTTTGACTCAGGTGTTGGCCTTTCTCTCACATTCCAGCCACTTATGATAACAGGTACATTTATAGCCTGATGTATCTTCTTTACATGGCATACTATCAAAAAACAATTTAGATGAGAAATCTTTGTGTTTTTGGAGATTGAGTGTGTTTAACAGTGACTATTTCATACTAAGATGGACATTTAAGTGTGTTACAAGGATAATGTCATCATGATTATCATGCTAAAATGTGTGGCTCTTGAGCTGAAGCTTTTTTTCTGTTAACGTTTTACAGAAATTCAACTACTAGAACAACCATGACTGATAAAAAATAAGTCTTCTAGCCATATTTTATATTTCAAAGTGTTTGCTACCCAGGTAAAATTATAATAATTAAGTTCACTATTCCCATTGCGATGCTAATGTTATTGATCTTCTCTTCTGGGTGTACAACAACTAAAGTTTACAAATCAGAACTAGAAAGGTAACTGGGCTAAGAAGACAGCTAATATTTTGGCCCTGGCTTTCAAGGTCTACAAACAATCCTGGACATGACAGAACCTTTGCTACAAGATCCTATAACTTGGGTAGGTCACCCAACCTCCTAAATAGGGAGACTGTTGGGACATCAAAAAGATAAGAATCAAGAGTGTGCTAAAAGAGTGTTACTTGGAGGGAAAAGTCTCCCATGCTTTCACAGAAAGCAACGTGGTCAAGCAAGTCCATGACACATGCTGATGGCTGACACTGATAGGAGCTTGAAAAGCTCCGTGCAGGATTCAAAGTAATGCCTGTGGAGACTTAACTGACCAAGAGATCAATTTTAATTAATACAGGTCTCACCTTAACTTGGTCTTAAACACCCAATAGAAAAGTACAACCCAAATATATATTAAGTCAAGACCATAGTAATAACATTGTATATAAGAAGGGGCTCCAACTGCTGACCCCTACTGGCAATTTCCAACTACACTGGTGATTCACATCTATTATGGGTCAATAAAAAACAAAAACAAAAACAAAAAAACTACAGTAAAATTTATAGACCTCAACAAGTTTTTTTAATTTTTTAGCTAAAATTGTTTTTTTAAATTATTAAATTTTCAATCTTTTTATAGCTAAAAAGAAAACTTATGACAAAATATCAGACTGATGGATAACCTCTATTAATAAAAGAGTCTAAGAGCCAGCAGGTTACAATCACTATTTTAGTCCTTTAAAAAAGCAGTTTAACAAATGTGGTAGATTTTTTAAACAAAAATCCACCAGATTGACTTTATAGAGAGAGTATATAATTGCAATATGAATTTTATTTAAGGTCTACTAAACTAGCTCCCTGAAGACAGCCCCTAACTGTGGTCTTCCCTACATGGACCCTTCTCAGCTTGAAGCAGCTGGATTGCAACTACACCCTTTCTCCCCTAACTGCAGTTGGAAATGCTCTTTATAAAAAATTATAGACAGCTAAGCCAGTTAGACACACTGTTAAGTCCTTGTGACACGGGTTCATTGGATAACTCACAGGACAAACCACTGCTGAGTGTACTCCCTTTTCCCTAAAGGCACGATTATATAAACAAAGAAGGAGGTAAAGCTACCTGCACACGGTCAATTAGATCCTGTAACTTTCATTTTAAATTTTTAGATCCACTTATAAAAGATAAATAATACTTCACTGAAACTCCTTTGATACAAAGAAAGATCTACAGACATTTCCTAGACACTAGTGTTGTCAAAGCATGTACTAACTAAAAGGTAAAGGACTCCATACAATTAATAGCATAGGGGCCAGGATATGCTTATTTTTCAACAGAAAATAAAAAGATGCTGTGGCCATCCTCCCAGAATGTACCACCGTGGACCAAGATGGATTCGCTGCAAGCAGCATGATGTGACACCTTGCTGACAGCCCTGCAAAGGCTGCAACTGAGTGACTCCCTCACCTGTTAAGGCCTGGGACCTGCAAAGATCACCAGACCTGCTGCAGCTACTGTTTTCAAACAGAGAAGGAGGAGATGCACAGGACTGTAATATTGATTATCACCAAAGCAGGCTGTGAAGAGTTAACCCCACAAATGTCTTGTTTTTTCTATTTTAAGTACCACACTCTTTAGCACAATTAAAATTATTTAATTTTTTAAAGATTAATGTATACAAACCCTTAAGGAAGACAGTCACACTGTGTGGCATCTGCAGAGAAAGGCCGTCCACTCTGAACGCGGGCCTCTCCCTGAGTGCAGGGCACTCCAGTGTGGCATACGCCAGCGTCCTCTCTACCCAGCACCCACGGCCTCTCGACTGGGCACCCTCGGCCACCTTGACACCAGATGACCCCACTGCTCATAAAGAAAATCACTGATTTTGCTCCAATCACTTAAGACTCATGAAAAACAAGATGAACCAGAAATATCTTAAATATTTAATGATCTGTATTTGGCAAATATTTTTCATGACCCGAGTTTTGAGTGTAACAGGTTAATTTCCTAAATTAGACCTATCAAAAAGTTTCACTGATATTTTATATCATGGAATTTCCACAAAGCTAAAATTGCGATATCATGCAAGAAATAATTTTGAGTATTATAAAATATGAGCCATTACTATTAAACTCTGCACAAAAATGACAACCACAACTAGTGAAAATGGAAAGAAAACAGAGGTAATAACAACCTCGAGAGAGGAAAAGCACCTTCTCCAAACCTTGACTCAAAGTATTTTAATGTGACAGTCCTTACTTTCTAGTAGCATCTGAATACAACTACACACAGGCGAAGCCTGATAAAAAGAACTGCAGTTTCCATCAGGGATCTGGACACTGATCACATGGCTATAGGATGGCAACTCAGCTAACATGCACCGGGCACAGGCAAGGCTAACCGCAGACTGGAGCAGCACTGGAGGGAGCTTCACTTGGGCCCTGGCAGTGCCCACCATCCCCGGCCCCTGTGCCTCCTTCTCCCTCGAGAAGCCCAGGCTTCTGCTGCCAACAAACTGGGCAAGGAAACAACTGGCAGCTGTGGCCCACAGGGCTGTCAGAGATGTTTTCACTTCATTTTATCTTTCTATTTATTTGGGTTGTCTGAGAAAGGGTATTGCTATGTGGTTCAGCTGGCCCTGAATTCACAATCCTCCTGCCTCAGTCTCCTGAATACCGGGATTACAGGTGTTTACCACCATGCTCAGCTTTGGAGATGTTTTAAAACCCGTCAACATAACTGCTTTTCTACTACAGTAGAGGGTTAAAACATGTAAATTTAAATAATACTACATGAGCAACTGTTTAGGTACACAGCACACGAAGTACAAGTGACACGCCCAGAACAGGTACGACATTGTGAAATAAATAGGTAATTGCACTTCTCGATGTTGCAATTTACCTACTCTGTGAATAACCAATGCAACCTTTCCCACAGTATCTCTAGGTTTTTGTTTTTTTGTGTGTTGGCATAAGGGACAGAACCCAGGGCCTTGCACTTGGTGGGCACAAGCAGTCACCACTGCGCTACTCGGGTCTCTTTTATGCCATGAAATAACAGGGAATGCACACAACAGAGAAGTTTGTCGATGTTGGTTATCTGCTGGAACAGCACACTGCTGCGCATCCCAAACATTGAACCCACTCAGGATTACATCCAAGGAGAGGCAGCCAACGTGGACGGCCCAGCAACCCAGCCCAAGGGCAGCTGTGCACAGACCCCGGGGCAACTGTGACCTGATAGTGGTCACACATGGAGATCATGCACAACAGCAACCACACTCCGCAGACACACACTCCTGTATAGGCAGCCTGGGCACAGACTCAGTTACAGTGGGGGGATTCGGGGGCATGGATTAGGTCACAGCACCCTAGGCAGGGGGCAGACCCCAGGACTCGGACTTGGTCACAGCACCTTCACTCAGCGGGACACAGACTGCAAGCACCAAGAATAAGAAGGCCAACCCATGCCACTGCTGGGCAGTCTTTCCCCAGCAATGGAAAGAAACACAAGGCCCAGGGCTGGGCATTTAGCTCAGTGGTGCCACCGCCTGCTTTGCAAGCGCAAGGTCCAGAGTTCGATCTCGGGTACCAGAAACAAAAACAAAAAAGAAACACAAGGCCCCTCAGAATCTCAGACACAAGGGACTGAAGCCCGCTTCTAGGTGCCTCACGGTCAGGAACTCATTCAGGCCTGAATAAAGGAAGGAGCCTCCAAAAACAGCATCTTAATTCCAGACACATAAGACGACACCCCCCTGGCTGACCTTTTACGATTTGGTAACTGAAAAGAAATGGTACTTTCCTTCACATGTGGTAAAAGCACTATGAACAATAGCGCAGCTATTTTCCCATCAGTTTAAATGAATATTAAATATCAAATTTTATCTAAGTAGTAAAAATACGATTCCCCTAAAATACACTTTATAGTTCCTTTCAAATTATCTTAAATTAGTTGCTACAGTCTAAGAATAATGGAACAAAATGAACAAATCATTTATTAAGTACTTTCCGAAACCTATGATAGAACAAATGATATTTTGAAGAATTATTAAAATAATAGAGCATTTCAGCACTCATTAATAATTATTTAAAAAACACAATTTTGGCTGAAGTGTTCATTCAGTGGGTATATCCTCGACGTCATGGTAATTTTAATCAGAGGTTCTCAGAGAAGAATGCCAGTTTCCACACAGAATGCTCACCCTGCTCGCCCCGCCCCGCAGGCTCAGGTCACAGGTGCTCGGGGACTCACCGTGGCAATCGGCCCGTCGACGTGGTAATCCAGGCTGAAGACGTCCCATCCCGTGTCGCCCGGAGAGACCTGACAGCAGAGCAAACAATCAGAGACTGAGCTTGGTGCGAATAACCTGTGCTCCTCCAAGGAAGGAGTAAAGCAAGGCCTGCGTTTTAAAACGCCCACATGGCAACGCTCCCTTTAAAAGGTGGACCCTTGGGACACAGCCTTGAAAACAAAACAAACCCCACCTCACAGCAAGAACGTTTAGCTGTGTGAGAGCAAGGGACCCTTTATGTCGGCCTGGCGTCCTCAGCCGGTGGACCGTGACAAGGTGTATGGCAGGTGTACTAAAAACACCCAGGGATGAACAGCGCACTCTTCAATGTGAACATATGCTCAAATCTTACTACCATTTTTATTACAGACAAAACCTACTGCCTTGTAATAGGTTCCAAATCTCTAAAAGTCTGTATTTCAAGAAATCCCAACTGGTTGTGATGGTGCATACCTATAATCCCAGCACTCGGGAGGCTGGAGCAGGAGGATTTTGAGTTCAAGGCCAGCCTGGGCTACACAGTGGGACACTTTTCTCAGAGAGGGGGATGCAGAGGCAGAGGCGGAGGGCGCACACCAGTTTCTTCTAAGGATCCCTCAGCCTGGCTCAGCAAATATGCTCATGATTCTACCCCACCACACTGACGCCAGGGAAACAGATGCCCTGGTGACCACAGTGGACTGGTGCTACCCTGCATGGCTTGGCTAGGAGAGGACCCATGTGATCACGGGAGGGGACGCAGGTGAGCAAGGCACACCCCGCTGGCCAGAGCAGCCCAGCGCGCCTGGCCCGCCCGGCCTACCTCTAACAGCCTCACATCCAGCCGCCGCAGGATCTCGGGGCTGTCAAACTGTGCGTTGGTGGCTCGGACGGCAGTTTCTAGGATTCCAGTCAGGTTGTGCTGATACAGAGTTGTAGCTGGACGGACAAGTTCTGGTCTTAACAAAATTTTTAAAAATAAAAAAAGTTACTTGAACTTCTAATGGACTTTAGAAAAACTTAGAGTTCAAATGATAGAAAAATGAAAAGACAAATGAGACCAATACAGTGTGATGATAAAGAATTTATGATATTAACTGCACATAGGGCCTACCAATTACTTGAGAGTGAAACACATTTGAGCGTATAAAACCTCCACTTAAATTAGAAGTACTCAGATATGCCATGCATGTTAATGAATCAACCTCCGACTGGCCTAGGAGTAGCACAGGGTGCTGTTATCCCTACACAGGCCCAAAGGGAGGAGAGGTCTTCGCCGATGGAAACGAGACACAGACATCTCGATGGACGCCAAAGGGAGCAGGCTGCGATGCCCTCAGCGCCCCATGCTGCAGCTGCTGGCAGCTGCGCCTCTCGTGAAAGCTCCCGGCTGACCACCCCCTCCAGGGTCTGCACAAGCGCTGTCAGTGGGAGACAAGGCTAGAAGACAGGAGACTCCGCTGTCCTCAAGTCATTTTGAGGGACACAGACATCACGTCACACTGATAACACTCCCTTTAAAAGGTGTACCCCTGAAACACAGCCTGAGAACGAATAAACCCCGCCTCACAGCAGAATGTTACACGACACGTTCAGCTCTGGCAGGAGGCACACGCCACGCAGCCAGCAAGGCCACATGATACGGCCCTGGCCTCTCCGCTCCCTGTTCCACCTGCTTGTCCATCCACAGGCCCCACACCCTACAAGCTGCCCACTCAGACCTGGCGTCACCATGCACACTCCAGACCACCTGGCATCCAACCCAGCAGCAAAGCTCCCTTTACTCAGCGGGAAATGCCACGCAGAGTCCCACTGAAGCTCACACGCTCACTCCAGAGTGGGCAGGGGCCGGCTACTGCCAGGGAGCCTCCCGCACTGCGGTCTGCACTGTGGAGCTCATGTGCCTGGGAGGGGCCTTGGGCTACAGCCCCCACATGCCTAAGCTCTGCCCACATCTTCAGCTCGGACTGGCACAGTGGATGCCTCGTCAGCCACTTTAGGGGGCTGGCGTGAGCCAAAGCTATAGTCCACAGGCCCAAAACAAGCGGCATAAGTTGGACAATAGGACTCAGCCTTACTGCTCTGTGTCCTAAAGGGAACACCAAACACAGTACCTGTTCTCACAAACACCTGCGTGAAAGTCCCTGGGCCACGCTGTGAGTGGCGGACACCCTGCCAGCCAGGAACGCTGGCCTGTGCCGGGCCCAGATTCTCTCTGGAACGGAGCTGTTTCTGCCTCCAGAGAGAGAAGGACCAATGTGGGACCCACAATGATGCAGGGAGAAACACAACAGACAAGGCACTGCATATCTTATAAAAATCAAGACAGTTGCAGTTTCTTACTTCAGCAAATCCATCAAGTGCCTTATAAAGTCTCCTTGACCAAGAAGCAAGTACCGCCTCATCGCCTGCATGTGGTCCAGCAAGCTGTATTTTTTATTGAGAACATCCAATAGATATTTGCTGGTCTCAAAATAAGCAGCATCAATTTTCCCTTGAAATGCATTTTCTAAGTCTGTGAATAAATCCGCAGCTGTAAAGAACAAAAGGGGAGAGCACACATCCATATGTAATATGTACTTAGAGGACAGGAAAGCGTGGCCCACAGCAGCTCGCAAGCCGCCAGCAGTATCCACCACGGACCCCGCCCGGCCACCGCAGCTGCACGGTCAGCAAGGGCAGCACGGCCCCAAGACCTGGACACCCAGTGAGACTGACACAGCTTCAGCAGTCAGGTCCACGGTGACAGCCACAGCGCTAATGCAACTCCGAGGACCCCTCTCCACAATGTCCACGTGGCAGGCACAGGACACTCGGAACCTGTCCCAAGACCAACTCAGCCCGTGTGCGTGAGCTCTGAGCAGCACAGCTCAGCATCCCAGAGTGAACTCCGGGCCACCGCTGGAGACTGTCCAGCAGCACAACCAGCCTGTCACCAACCCAGAAGCTTAGTTCCAGGGGAGAAACTCAAGAAAAAAGTGTCTCCATAGCTTTCCACTGAAAAGAAACAATGCGGCGACTACAAACACAATAGAGCTTTTATGATGCTAATTTACATCTGTGTAGCTCAAACCCGTCTATAAAACATATCTGAAACATTCTATTTCCTTTAGAAAGCACAGTAACACTTGAGCTAGGAAGTAATCTCAATGCTGGGAACAATCTGAGACTGAGAAAGGTAAAACACTTGCTCAAGGTTATGCAGGGATACAGAAGCAAAGCTCTGGTTCCGAGGTGAGCCTCTTCCTCGACCTGAGCTACTAACCAATGAGAAGATCCAGGTCACTGGAGGAGTCCGTCCTCCAGATGAGGCCAGCTGCAACATCTGGCCAGCTCTGGCACTGCTGCCATACCCGGTGCCCACAAGACGGTGCCACTGTCTGAGCCAGAGCACATGGGTGCCACCCCAGGCTCACCGTGATCCTCTTCCAAGGGCCCTGGGCTTCACTCACTTAAGAACATAAATATTTCCCCCAGGAATGCACTTATCACTGGGTCCTTCACACTTTTGGAATCCAATAAAGAAAATTTAAATATGGGCCAGTGTCAGCCTGGGCGGCCTCTCCGGACGGAGCCTCAGGGTCCCACACTCCGCTCCACCCCTGGTTTCATCGCCCTTCGGACACCAGCTCCTTGCACTGCCCTCTGGACTCCTGATTCACACTTTTAAATCCTCAAGTTTTCCACAGATGTCCACTGCTTTATACTATTATGATAGAGAGAACTTCTGTGAATAATCTAAAACCCTAAAAAATGTTAGGAAAATGTAAAATGACTTCTGCTGTCTCTGACAGCAATCTACTTTGTTAAGCTCAAAATTACCAGACACCAGAGGCACTGACCACGAAATGGGACATCTGGCCTCATCCCTGACCTTGAACACCCACTTCCTGTGCACCAGAATAGGTAGCCAGACGAATCTTAAGGTAAACTCCCCAACTACAAGGAACTGTTATGTCCGGGTTAAAGTGAACTGTCTGGTTACTATAATTTGTACATGGGTAACGTGAACCGAGGAAATGAAATGTAACCACCTGAATGAGGTCATGGCTGTAAAACCTATAAAAGAAGCTGCAACCCAGTACGAGGTGGATCACTGGCACTGCTCTTTTGAGTGTGATCGACCTTTGCTGGCAAAACAAACTTTTTATTATTTTACATCCATTCTGCTTCACTGTACATGTCATTTACCAATTCCTTCCACAACAATTAGTAGTCTTTTTGAACGTTGTACCTTTATCTTCCCACTACACTACAGAGAGCAGCAGAAATCTCATTTTTCCATAAACACTAGCCACAGCAGAGGACCAAGGGGGCTACAGGAGTCATCACCACCAAAAAAAAAAAACGCAGCTGCAAAGGAACAGCAACAACAGTGGCAGTGGCAAGAAGAGAATAATAACAGCAATAGCAGAGTAATAGCAGCAGTAACAGCACAGTGGAGTAGCAGCAGCACTCGTGGTAACAGCGCAGCAGAGCAATAGCAGTAGTAGAGTAACAGCAGCAGCAGCAGTACTAACAGCAAAGCAGCAGCAGCAGAGGAGCAGTGGCGGCAGCAGTAGTAATGACAATGTAGATAGTAACAACAGTAAAGTAATAACAAAAGTGGTAATGATGGCACAGTAAAGGCGGCAGAGTAATAAGAGCAGTAAAGTAACAACAAAGTGTGGCAGTAACAGCAATATAGACAAGCAGTAGTAATAACAGCAGAGTAAAAAGAGCAGTAGAGTAGTAACAGCATGGAGTAAAAACAGCAATTAACAACAGCAGAGCGGCAACAGCCGGAACTACAGAGGAAGAACCACAGCAGCACAGTAACACCAACACTACAACAGCAGTGCAGCGGCCTCCGCCCCTCCCACGGGGGATGCCTCCCTCAGATACCTTCCCCTCCTCGCCTTGCTTCCTCCCTATGGAGAAGAGAAAGCTCCAGTGACACTAACACTCTTCCTCCCTTTGCCTCTTCAACTTGGGCCTCTCCCCACAGCTGCATCTGGATTCCATCTGCTCCAGGAACGAACCCAGAGAACGTGAGCACAGTGGGAATGGGACCAAGCGCTCCACAATTCCGAGGGCCACGGCCCCACCGCCGGGACTCACTGCACACCATTCCTAATACAACATCTCATGCAAAGTGAACCCTTCGAACAAATCAAGATGGCAACGTAAACAGCAAACACAGCCAGGACTAGAAAGCCATACGAGCAAGTTAGCCATGCACCAAATACAGCCAGACAACTGGAGCTAGACCAGGCACCGAGAGCGGAAATGCAAGAAAGGGACAGCAAGTGAAAGAGGGTAAGCCACAGTGTTGTAACACAGGCAGAGCTTCAGCCCAACGTTCTGCACGCAACACACATTCACTAAATCTCTGCTTTCCGAATAAGCCTTTGTGTGCCACAGCATGGCTACCACTGGCAACATTTACCCGTTTCTTATCCTGGCGCGTCACTTTACAATTAGAAAAAATAGTATACCAACCCACTGAGCAGAACAGACTAACCGTACCTATTCCAATACCTATTTAACTCTGTATATAAGGAATTAAACATTCATGTAATAAAACATTACACGTATATATCAATCATACTGTACACGCGGTACCTTAGTGATTCAGACAAACTGTAAACCCACTGTGTGTGTGTAAAACCATCACCATCATCACCACCAAACACCATCCCCACCATCACCTGCATCAGTTCAATCACATTATCACCCCAAACCACCAGAATCACCACTGTCCCCATCCCCACCACCACCCCCATCACGCTATCATCGACGTACCGTCTCGGGGTGACTCTGCAGACTTGGTCACAGCTATCATCTTCGTAGTGGGCGTCTGATCGTGACAAACTTGATGCAAGAAATTTATTGATTTTCCTATCAAAAGGACCTGAAATGGAAAATATCCTACAATTTTCTTACCTAAAATTTAAATGCTCGTCGAATATTACAAATATTCTATAAATGTTACAAATTGGCTATGGATTAAAAACTACATGATCAGAGCACTGAATCTAGTGCACTCTCAAACTCAGAACATACACTAGCAAATGCACAGCATGCTGATCACCCAGTTTCCATGCATGTCACCTCACAAAAGAGTAACCTTAGAATGCAACCTGATTTAACTGAAAAATAGTTCTGTCATAAAATCCAAATATATAGCGAGACAACATCAAAATCACAGAAAGCTCTTCTAACCCTACCTTCCTAGACTGATCCATGGTAATGAAAGAAGGAATCATAGATTTCCTCAAAGTATACTTGTCATGCCACAGTCGATCAGTTTTAACTGTTGGATCTGATGCTACAAAAAACTGAAAACAGAAAAAAGCATTATTAACAGGCAACGGTGCAATATACTGGCTAACAGCAACATCAGAGACTACAATAGTCTAGAAAGTTAAGTATCTGGGGCAGAAATCTGAGTCGAACTATGTTTCCTATCCTTTTATGACCAGAGTCCAACAAAACCAAACTGTGCTTTCACTTGGAGACTCGGAAGCATCCCTGAGTTCATGTCAGTTCAGCCTTTGCCATGCACTGTCGAGGACCTGCAGCCACGGGCTTCTTCCTTGGTAACTGTGCAGACTGGAGCTGAGTGCTTACCTGGGGTCCCATCGCCCACCCTACATTCGAGTGCCTCTCTGGGCTCTGCCTGCCCTTACCCTCTCTCCTACAGAGCTCCAGTGCAGAGTAGAGGTGCGTAGGCCTGTGTATTCTACTCACAGAAATCCTAGGCGGCACACTTAAGTGCAATGGCCAGTAGCAGCCTCCCACGCAGCACTCCGGAGGTGACCTCTCGACAGCTCTGATCAAGAACCTGCTCTCTCATCCACGCTGCAGCACCCTCCATCCTCCCCAGCACCAGCCAACAGCATTAGAAAGGCCTCTAACTGGTAAGGAGAATCCAGGTCACCTGCCGCATTCCTGTGCACTGACGCCAGTGACCGGCAACAGCTGACTCGCGCATTCAGGCTGTGCGGGCTGCTGAGGTGAGATCAGGTGCCCTGTACTGTTATCTCCTTCACGACAAAGGAAGCTGTGCAGTTTTCACAATGGTTGCCATTTGCGTTTCCTCCTATGAACTTCGTGTCTCTGATCCACCCTTCTGATTTTGTCATTTTCTTATCAATACATAAATTCTTCATACATCATTACAAATTACAAACTTAACTTTTCTAAGTTAACTGTCGGCCACTGTTTATACTACATTCTGTGTTTTTGTTTGTTCTGCCCCATTTTTCTGTCACATAAACATCTGCCTTCCTCACTAGCTTCTGGGCTTGGTGGGGTGATCGCCTCATTTCTGGGTCACAGAAATGCCCTCCATCACGTTCCGTCAGTACGTCCGCCACCAAGCCGATCATGAGTCTGGCCCTCGGCCACTCTGCACTGTGTCCTGACAGCAGCTTCCCCAGCATCTGCTTCTGTGTGGTGTGTTTTTCCATGCTAGACCAGCACCACTCATTCAGTGCATCATCCCTTTTTCTAGGCCAGGAACCACTGCAATTAACGCCGCGGACAGCCCAGAAGAGGACATCATCTGACCACACCGAGAGGTGCAGGGACCCCCAGCAGCCGCCATCCTCGCCATCCTCCCAGAATGCACCAGGGCTTCAGACACGTCACTGTCCTCACGCCACCTCTCCTTTCAGAACAGGGGTGCTGCGAGCCGCTCAGATTTTCCATCTGGACGGCCAGGGCTCTTCCTCGCTCCAGGTCCTCAAGTGCTCCAGCTCATTCCATCTCCGGGTCAGCCACTCCTCCAAGGCACCAGACCTCCTCTGAGGAGAAGCAGCAGCACTTGGGATCAGGAGCCCAAGGCAGAGTGGACAGCAGTGTCACTTCTCCAGACTATGAAGTCCACCTGAGTCAAAGCTCACCACAAACGGCCCTGGGATCCCAGACCAGCCACAGGGACACCACCACCTGACAAAAGGATGTGCCACAGGGACAAGATGGCTCAGAGAATGTTTAAAGCATTCAACAATTACAAAGCAACACCAAATTGCTGATTTCCCAGAAAAATGTAATAACCAAAACTAAACCAAAAAGACGAGACCCCAAAATACCGATTTCCTTACACTAAGTAGGGACTAGGAAACACTGCCACTAAGGTGTGGGGCCTGCCTAACTTTAAAAATGCCATTCTCATGTTACTCAAAATGTGCGAGACCACAGAAAGAATGCAAAATGCCCCATTTGTTTTTATAAAATCAGTGTATCACTAGCACTCCTGATAAGAAAATGCCAAAAATTATTATAGCAAGTTTCATTCCCAAACACAAAGGAATCGATTCTGGATAAAATTAGCCTTCCATTACTGGAATAAAATATTTTTGGTCAAAGTATATTACTTCCAATAGGCTACTAATTGTGTAAAACCAAGTGAAGGCATAAATAAATTATAAAATATTGTCATTAACAATAAAGGTTTTTGTTACCTATCACAGACCCCCAGAGACTGAGGGAGCACAGACATTTTCAGGAAAGAACCATGCATCCAACAAATTAAAGTCTGATACCCTATTCCAGAGCTTCTGAGGTCATTCTTAGAAGCTTTGATATAGAAGATAATTTCTAATGGCAAGAAATAATATTACTTTGAGGAAAAAATAACAAAGGTTATGAAATAGGATACATAGGGCATACACATAAAGATGGGAATACACACAAATATAGTCTATCCATGATTGAGATTCCTGATAAAGATTGAATTTTCTCCTGTGTTTATATAATCAAAAGTTTTAAATTGCACAAATATTTTTAACTCAGAAAAAATTGCTTAGTAAAAGAATCAAATAACAACAACCAAATACTAACTATGTTACCAGTATTTTTTTTACTAACACAATTTCTGCAGGGTAATTAACTAAAACCGTTTTTCTCCTTTCACAGAAATTTACTATCAAGGGCAAATATTTAGAGAAACAATTTAAATGAGCCCAGGTCTTGCTTGATCCTAGTGAACTGTAAGGAAGTATCAGCTCCATACATCCTCTCTCCTTCGCAAGCAGGCACATGAATAAATGCCAACATTTCAATGAACACAGGTGGACTGCTACCCTTATTTTCAATTAAAATTTACCTTTATTATCAGTTTCAATGAACACAGCATTCATTGATCTATTTTAAACTTCTTCGATTTACATTACCTAATTTAAAATACGTAAATAATGACTACTTAGAGATAAACAGTTTCACTCTAATGAGGTTATCATCACTTTAACATACACTTAAATTACCCCAGATAAAAATTAAAACCCGTTACAAGCCCGCTGTGATTGTCTCCATAGTTAGCCAATCACAGTGCTGGGACTGCTCTGTAGCTTGCCATTCAATAGATTAGATTAATTGCATATAAATTGTATTTGTCTGTTATTCACTTAAATAGAAGTGCCAGTTTTTACAGACAACACACTAATTCACCCCGATAGCTGGACTGCAGCTGGATTTTTATCAGTGTGAACAATAGGAAAATTTAATTTAAACAGTAAGAGACCCTCCGGCGACCCAGTTTGTCTTCAGAGCCAGGCGCACACTTGCAGTCACTCCACTAGCAGACGTCAGCACAAGCACAAAGAGCGGGGCCCCTCTAGAGCAGAATTAATTCCTCAAAAAATAGAGTGACAGGAGGAAATCCAAGGCTAGAACAGAATTGCAATAAGCTTTCATTTTATCGATGCATTTTCCACTCAAGGTCCTTTCATTTTCACTTTTCTGTCAAGCTCAGAAAGAATAGAGCGAAAAAATAAAACATAATTGTTCTGCAATTTCTCATTAACTGCTGGACACACGCCAAGGTCTTCTGACTACAAACAGATGCAAAGAGGGGATTTTGAGCAAGCAACTTTGTTTCTAGGAATCAGAGGCAGAGGTGCAGACCACAGAAAACCCACGGCGGACTCCACCACCATGCAGGCCACCGTGTGAGTTCTGCCCAACATGCTGGGAACGAGCAGGGTGGACGCGCTAGGGGACGGTGAGCTGGTCCAGTCTCTGCGCAGTGACGGCCACATACGAGTGAACTCACCAAGGACAGTGTCTCACGGGCCGAGGCCCATGCTTCCTCGGTTCCACTCACAGCCTCAACTGTGTCCTTGTTTCGATGCTAGCATGGCCAGAGCTGTCTTAATGCCACAGGGGCTCTCTTGCTCGGAGTGTGTGGACACACAACTGACTGTCAGAGCGGACATGGGCCCTGCCCTCTGGAGGCAGCTGTCCCTCTTAACCTTCTGCACCTACTCAGCACATGTGGGTGTCCTCTACGGTTTTTCTCTAAGATCACAGCCTCATAAGAGGAGGCCCTCCTGTTCTATTGCTTGAAGGGCTGGGGAAGAACTGGTGTGAGTCAAGGACTTAGTTAGCATTCACCTGAGCAGCCACGGGTCGCGGGCCACTCTGTGCTGAAGTTTCTCGATTACTGATTCAATGATGCAGATTTCCTGTCTTTGGTAGTTCCCATGTTTCTAGGAACTCTCCGGTGTTATTTGTCTGGAAACTTTATGCAGAGTCCTGGGCCCCACTGAGCCTTCCTCCAGCACCCAAGACCGCGCTGTGCCGCCTCTGCCCCCCAGCCTGATGAGCAGCCGCTGTGCAGCTCTGGAGGCCCCTTTACCGTGGGTTTGCCCGATGTGGCGCCGAACTTCTCTGGCTCTGTGCAGCTGACCGCGTTTCTCCGTGTGGGTCTTGAACGTGCAGACTCGCATTTTTGCTGCACTCACCATCCTTTCGTTCACGAGTGTGGGTGCCCCAGGACGCTGCTGTTTCCCTTCCTGCTTCTCCCTTGCAGTCCCTCGACCTCCTCCAGCCGCACTTACCTCTCCCTCCGAAGCCCACTGTGGAACTGTGACGATTCTCCTTTCACGGGACTTTCCAGGGCCACAGTCTCATTTGAATCCTTATACTTTTTTTTCAATTTCTATCTCCTGACAGGCATTTTACACATTCTTTTGATCACCAAAAGTGGCATTTCCTTATGCAGATATCCCATAAACCACATACCATGAAGTAAATTATACAGCTCCTGTATCCAGAGACACTTGAAGGGATTCAACTTTACAAGCTGTAACTCACCTCAGCCAGGCTGAGAAAGGATTAACATGTACCAGAAACGTAGAGAAAAACTCTCAAGTTTTAATCACATAATGACAAGCACACAATGTGATTCTCTACACTAGCAAGTATGTATGGTAAAGGTTATTACCTAGAGAACTTCTCTAAAATTAAAGATTTAAATGAAAATGTGTCAATGTAGGGTTTACTGATCAGAAAACTACAGTGGTCAGAAATCTACAGATAAGAGAGGCCTCAGCACCATAGGCACAGGAGCCTTCACACATCATCCCAGTTCTTCTGAGACTGGCGTGACCTCCAGTGACATGCCACATGCCTCCCATGTGTCCCACACAGGACCCAGGGGACAGGTATCATCATGCGCGCTGAAAGATGGAAGGAACAAAGATGGCAGCAGAGAAAGGGCTCAGGACAGGGAGCCCCAAACCACCCTACCCAGGACCCAAGCTATGGAGCATGGCAAAGACTCATGTGCGGGCCTCAAGGGCCCACACAGGCTCTGCCAGTCACGGCGTTTGGAGAAATTCCACAGGCAAAGCCAGTGAGGTGAACAAGGGCCTGGGCACAGTGGTCACCAAGCAGCAGAATGGCTGCAAAGGTGAGGGAGCCTGTGAGACTGCTGGAGCCAAGTGCTGAGCAGCAACACCAGCACTCTGTTGAATTTTTGCAACTTTTCTAGAAGTCTAAAATTAAATCAAAAGAAAACATTTTTGAGAATTAAAAACTTTTACCAATGAGGCAAGAACTACATCGCTAACCCTAGCATACAGCACAAAGTTATAAACACACACAATTTCTAAAAACATTTATTTTTTCTCATCACAAAATCAGTCCCATAAATTTACTAATGAAAAAATTTAAAAGCCCAGATAATTACCTTACTGTGTCAATGATCAGAAGATTAATATGCTTTTTAAATAATCAACTGCACAAGCTTTCAAAGATTCGACTCCTCCTGAACCTGCAGAGCAACCTCAAAGGAAGGCCACAGCTGCAATCTTCCGCTGCCTCTCGTCCTGGCAGTAAGAACTGAAGAGTGCACGAGTCTAAGCGGCTGATTATCTTGAAAAATTAAGTCTGAGTGAAAAACCTAACTAAACAAACAACTTTATATTTTCCAGAAACAGACCCGAGGATGCAAACTTTACCATGATGAATACAAATGACTCCCACAGACAGCACCAATGCACCATGTGTGGCTGTGTGTCACATGACCCCACAGACATGAACTGAAACAAGACAAAGCTGCTCACGGCGCCTGGGTGAAGGCCACATGCTCCTCAGAGAGCAGGCAGTGACCTAGTGCTCAGGGACGCTGGGAAGGGCTGTGTCCTGACCTGGACGGTGGCTCAGGAGGCTCATTTTGTGTTTAATCAAGTGTGCACCTCAATGAAAGGCATGGCTACTGCACTGGGTGAGAGGCAAAAATACCAGTTCAACAGCTGGTTCAAATACAGATGCAAAGCAAATTAAAATCTTAAAAGAAAAAGCAATTTATACATGCACATGCAAAGTTAAAAATAACACAAAAGCTACAGATTAGTAGTGGTGCTGGCCCAGAACCTGGGAAGGGAAAAGATTTCCTCATCTTAGGGAAGAAATCAAACTGGTTTACTGGAGACCTACGCTGAGCAAGACGCATGACACTGAAAGTTAAGTCACCTCAAGGTAACCATTAGTAAAACAAACAGAAGGTTTTCAATTATATTTTCAAAAAAGACATTTCACTTAGCACTAGAAAACAAGAAGTTGAGCCAGGGATGATAGTGCTCATCTGTAATCCCAGCACTCAGGAAGCTGAGGCAGAACGATTACTGTTGAGTTCAAAACCAGCCTAGGGGTATAAAAATACAAAGAGAACTTTTAACAGAGCTGAAAAGCTGATTTTAAATGCCTTATAAAAATGTGTAGAGCAGCAGTGAAATTGAAAAAAGGTAAAGCCTGCATCTTTGCAGGCTACAGATATCAAACCTTAAGTAGAGCCATCTAAATAACATTCACAAATAGCTCAAAGGACGAACACAGAAAGCGAGACTCAGAAATGGAGGGGAGTTAGGGATGAAGAGTGCAAACCTGTGGGGTATGAGTGATGGCTCAGTCAACAGGGCAGTACTCTGCAACATCCCCACTTTTCTGTAAATCTTAAATAATTTGAAAAGAAAAGAAAAAGTGCAATTACATATACAACATATCCAAATACTTAATACCTTCCATGAGTTAACCCTAAAAACAAAACAAAACAAAAATCCCTAGGAAAAATGGGCAAAGAGATATGAATGGGCAATTAGAAGAAAATAAAAATACCTATAACCATGAAAAGGTGCATATCAAACCAGGAACCAGGGAAAAGCAGACAAATGCCACAGTGAATGCCTATTTCACACTTCGTAGTTTATTAATGCTGCAGGGAAGCAGAAGTGTGGACCAGAGCGCAGGAGGAACCCATGGCACAGGCTGGTACAGGCTGAGCATGCCACAGCGCAAGGACTTTGGTCCCCATCTACACTCCGGGCCTAGGGGGTCTGAACCTAAGTCCCTGTCCACACTCTGGGTTGAGTAACACATATCTGAAACACAGCAGACCGCAAGTGCTGAGGATTTTGGTTTCTGGAATACAGACGCTCCTCATTCAGCAACCGCGACATACAGAAAGAAAAGATGGGGCCTAAATTCAAACAGCATGCCTCAGCTTTAAGTTGTCTTTAAACAAGGGATATTAGGAAAAAATGAAAACCAAGATCTGACATGTAAAAGTACAAGATCCCAGTGATGAATGTAACTGTACCGTATACTTAAAAAGTACCAATAAACTCAATAAAAAAGAAAAAAAATTAAAAAACAGGGGATAGCGATGCTGCCATGCAGATAACAAGGTGATCTGGGATAGAATCCATGTACTGATATTCAATCCCTTTGTGTTCCATACACTTCATACACAGCCTGAAGGTGTGGTAGACAGCGTGTTAGTGGGCAAGGGTCTGACCATTACCTGCGGGCCACTGGTGCATCACATAAGCACCGTCTCAGAGCATCTCAGACTCTGGGTGCTCCAATGACAGACACTGAGCGGGTGACTGGGTACACTGACAGATCTCCTGAGGGCTCAAACTGGCAGAGCAAGACTTTAACATGTTCACAGGGGGCCACACTTCGCAACTCTTGCTGCAGGGCAACTGACACCACAGGTGGTACAGGCATGACTGTCCCAATGGGCGGCTTCTCACTAAGTGTATTAGAAAAAAGGCCAATGGAAAGTATTAGATCCATCTGCAGCACTGGCGGGAAGGTGTTAAAGTCTGCATCCCCACAGGCCAGCAATTCCAGTGCCTACCTTGGAGAAGTGCAGACCACACATAGGGAACACACAAAGGATGACCGATTTAAGAACACTCCTAATATTAAACCCCGCAGAGAACACAAGCTCCATCAATAGGAATGCGGCCAAATATAAACTGACCTGTCCACACAGCGAGATAATATGAATTAATGAATAAGACAGTCACCGAATGATCTGCTTACACAACACAGGCACGCACGCGCACACACACACACACACACACACACACACACACACACCCCCTCAACACAGGCACGCACACGCACACACACACACACACACACACACACACACACACACACGCCCGGCCATGTGCAACCCATCGGTGTGTCTTCATGGCAGCACAACAACACAGTACCACACCCAGGAGATTCTGCTACAGTGTGTTCTAAAAGCAGTGAGTTATAACAGCACACTCAACAGTCAGGAAGCGTGCTAGACATAGAGCACACTCCACGTGTGCCTACATGCAATTTCCACAGGAAGAAACACAGGCTGAGCCCGAAGACACAGGAACCCACCACCTACACACCAAGGCAGCCGCACCCAGCCGCCAGCCTATTCCCAGGCACTGCCCGGGATCAGAGGGACTCTCAGCACTTTAAAGGATGCGCCAGTACAGCCTCCCACCCACGCCTATGCAGACAACAGGGTGCATTCAAGAGTAACGCCACATTTACTGCAGTATTTATGTATTTCTGAGCCACTGAACCCGTGTGAGGTTCCTAACTTACTGGCTTTCCATGTTACTAGCAATGTCTATGAGTGTGATGCCCCTACCTCCTTTCCCCAACAAAGCCCTATGGTTTTCACTCTGGTTTTGGCATTCTGGTGGTTTTTAGGAACATATCTGCTACATTACAGCAGAACTGACTTAGCTCAAAAAGTAAATACTCATGTATACAAATAACTCACTTGGTTCAAACCCTTGGCACAGAAGATGGAAGTGATTTTAGGAACAACCCTGCAAAAGCACCCACATGTGAATGCACACTCAGCCTCAGGAGGCCCAGACCTCTGCTCCTGACCAGCTCACTGGGAATTCCACCTGAGCGAGTAAGCACTCGACCTTGGGAGTTTCTCACTGCTAAGAATGGGAGATGAGCTTTTCACTAAGTGAAATCAGCTCTGCTGTCTGACAACACAACAGCTCTCCAGGCACTGCAAATGTGCACAGAGCTCAGAAGTGTGGGCGCCTCCTGTTAGACAGCCACCGGGAACCGCGAAGCAGACGGGGTGCCCGTGCCTCCTCACCCCAGCGCCTCACCTCGTGGTATGTGTCCTCAAGCTCCCCGTCGTAGATCCAGCGGTAGAGGAAGCTCAGGACAGGGTGAGACACCAGGCTCAGGATGTGCTGCACCAGGGACCGCATGTATGGGTCGCCCGTCTTTGTGTAGGCATGGACAGCAGAGGCCAGCTCCCCTCCTTTCCTCCCTGGGGGAACGAGGGAAGGGACTAAACACCCAGTGTACATTCGCAGCACAAAGCAAGCCCTTCAAACCAAGGATGGCCAAGGCATGAAGAGTAAGCGTGTCTACTTCCTGCCATTAATACCAGTTTTGGACCTAGAAGCAGCAGCAGCAAGACCCCGTCACTTTACACAAGCCAGGGGAGTACTGTTCCCTTCCTGGCAGCAAAGGAGTTTATCAGCTGCAAAAGTAGCCAATGGTGACTAGCTGCCCACTCTGGACCTCACATGGCTTTTCACAGCTTTCTGACTGAGCTTCACACTACATCCTGCCGCTCAGTACACACAGCAGTAGCAGCACAGGTTCTACGCATGGACCCCTACACTGCCTCGGGCTCACCACACCGTCCCAACTCACCAACTGCTCCACCTACCCGTGAGGCAACACCGTACAGTTTAAGAGCAGGTTCTGCCAAGTGGCACAAACCATGGGGAAAAGGTTCAGCCAAAAACACAGAAGCCAGAGCCCAAAAGAGGGCCGAGGTAAACATCCAAACATGGGGATTTTTCAACACACAGACAGCAAATAAGGGTAAGAGCATACCCACAAGGGAGGGAAGAAGAGATGCTAGAGAAGCCTGCCAGGTACAAGGCAAGCAGAGGAGGGGCGTGGGCACAGCACGGCATCCAGACCACACCTCTACACACTGGCAGCTCTCTCCTACCGGCCTTCACCTCCCTCACAGCCTGAGCTCTCACAAGGACAATCACGGACCACATTACAACAGCTCACATCCCTGACTGCATTCAGTGGACACACCTACGGCTGCCAGGGTCGGAAAGCAAAGCTGGATGGCCCACCCTGCAAAGCCCTGCAAACAACTTCGAACCATGGCACAGCAGGAGGCACACACAAGAGACCCCAAGGACCTTGGCAGTGATCCACTAGGGCCGCAAGGGTCTTCAGTCTTATTTTGGGGTCATAGGTCCAAACCAGGAGGCGCCGCAGTGTCAGGCTACTCTCAAGTCCCAAGTTAACCCCCTGGTCGTCCTCTAGCTGCAGCTGAAAGACAACATGGAAAGTGGAAGTGCAAAACACCAGTCACATTCATTGTTAACGCATATGCAGCAACAATAGGGAAATAATGAAGCCAAAGGTCTCCTCGGAGGAAATAATAGGCCTTTCAAGATTCCAGGAGCCTTTAAATGGTATACAGGGCTCTGAAAATGAGCAATTCATTGGCTCTGGAATACAGTGAAATTTTATAGCTATTTGGCACTCACAAACATTACTCCAGCACTGATTTCTACACCTTAATATACAAAGTAAGTTAAATATTCCATGAAATTCTAATTTTAAAATAAAGAGAAAATATTTACCTGGGAGTGTAAAACAGAGAGTAGCCGGTAGTATTCCTTGAGTTCCTGATGCAAGGCGGCACAAAAGCTCTGTATGGAAGAAGAAGTTACTAAAGCAAGGTGGCCACCACAGCAGACACCCTCCAAGTGCAGGGTGCGGTGCCTGCAGTGAGTTCAGGCGGAGCACGCCGAGATCTCAATTCTGGATCTGTCAATGGTCTGATCAACACTACAAAATACAGTTCAGTGATGTCAGAGAAGAGTTATTCTTTTGTAGAAAAAAGCATGAACTTTACAAAAGGAAAAATGTTTAATGTAGTGCAGTTTTTGTAATTAATTTTGAAAAATTATCCTTTATTTTGAGGTTGCCTTTCTAAATTTTCAGTTAAAATACAACTTTTTTAGATGTTCTCAACTGACGAAACTTAAAAATTGGCAAATCGGTCCCAACCCAATTTTGCTCTGGTTTGCACTGCTTATTCTCCCAGGCATAGAATTAAAAGCTTCTCTGTATACATGCAGTCTGAACTCCGATGAGGTCCACATCAAAAGGACACTGTCGGAGCAACAGGGACCTTTATGGGCCTGCACGCAGCCCTGTGCGCTGACCTCACTGGCACGAAGCAGAGGCTGTCAGGGATGGAGCCGCTGCGGGTTTTTCCACGTGCAGCCACACATCCTGCACACCCTAAAGCAATACATACTCGTACAAAAACGTCTGTTTGCAGAATCTTTGCTTTGTGGGTGGGGACTAAAGTGACTAACATAAAAATGCATTCAGGTACTCATTGTGCAGACACAAAGCAACATTTGAAAGTGCGATTTCCAGGCTGGACCATCCCAGCTCCAGCAGTCAGACAGACCTAGCATCATCCTGGCTCTCATGGAAGGACAACCACCGCACCCCAGCCTGGCTGGCTCCTTCTGTCCAGGACGAGCAAATGGGCAAACAAAAGGGAGGCACCTGGTGAAGCTGGAGGTCATTATGTTAAGTGAAATAAGCTGTGAGCCAGAGAAAGACAAGCATCACAGACCCTACATGTGGAATCAGCGCTGCTGACAGGACAGGGAGTAGAGCAGCGCTGGGCAGAGGCAGGGCCAGCAGGAAGGGAGGATGTGGGGAACTAGTCTAAGTCATGGGGCGATGAGAGACAGAAGCTCTCAGTGCTGCTGCACAGACAGCCATGGCTGACGGCGATGGACTGGACACTTCCAAACCGCCGTAAAAAAGCATTCTGGCTGTTGTCACCACAGGAACAGTCACTGAGGAGACAGGCATGTTTACCTGGATGTGAATGTTATACAACATATTTCTGTATCAAAGCTTCCTTGGAACCCCATTAATATGTACCATTTTATGTATCAATTTAACAATACACTTAAAATATCTACACAGTATTTAGTTTCTTATATTCCTTTTGTACTTCTTTCACAGCTGATCAAACACAGGACCTCCCCGTGGAGTCTGCATGCATAACCGGATGACACGAACAAAGGTATTACTGGGATCCTGTCAGATAGACAAGGACTCGGCACTGCTGGGACACCACTGCCTGCTGAGGACCCACCCCATGCCAGCCTGTCCTCACCATCTGCTCCCACAGTGGGGGAGCATGGCAACTGGTCTTCAGGCAGCTCACCTGATGGTGGATGCACTGGCTCATTCAAGACCAGCTGAGAACAGGCATTCTCTCATCTCCAAAGACTAAGGAGACAGGAAGTAAATTCCGCATCTGGAGAAGCCAAGCCGAGAACCCTAGGCTGTCTCCCTTTAGAGCCACGCCCTCAGCTGCTGCCACCACTGCCCCAGCCACACCATAGTGCCACTGCTCTGACACACAGCTGCTGCACTGAGGGCCTCACCAGCAATAACTACTGCATAGGGGCATCATGACTACTTCACCACCAAAGAAGGCGGACTACAGCAGTGCTGCGGTTTACTTGTCTGCTGCTTCTGCCAGGCTCAGCAGCCAGAGCAGTGGGTGCTCACCACCAGCACCTGCAGCATCCAGAATCCACCTCAGTGCCCCCGGGCCGCAGATGTGGCCACACCTTGCCTGCTCCCTCCCTACCCCGGTGGGAGGTAGCAGCAACAACAACAGGGCAGCACCTCCTCAGAGCTTCCCTGCTCCCCAGCCCCTCCCTCTGAATCCCCTTTCCTTGGCTGGGGAAGCCTCAGGCTCCAACAGCTCCTGTGGGTTCCACTTCTTTTTGTGGACCCAACTAATACCATCATCTTTAAAAAGAACTCTACTAGAAGTCATTCTCATAGCAGAACATACGCAGATTAAACATTATCGTCAAAGGGAGTCGTAGTGAACGTACCTGACCTACTAGTCCAAACGAGCGGTCCAGACTCCGCTGGTCAGTGTACTTTCTGATCTTATTATGCAACCACCCCAACTCAGCAAGTCTGACTGCCGTGTCTCGCAAAGACCTGTTGAGGTTTGCCTAAAAAGCAAGCAAGCACACCAAAAATTAACAAGCAACACTAGAATTTTCCTCAATCACTTGTGCTCTTGATTCTATGCTTGGATATCACCACTTTCAATGTGAAAGTTAAAAGTAACTAACATTAAGGGCCGGGGATCTAGTTCGGTGGCACCACGCCTGCCTCACAAGTGCAAGGTCCTGAATTTGATCCCCAGTAAAAGTAACTAATATAAATCAGCAAAGGAAAAAAGCACACAGGGAGGGAAAACACCCTGAAGGAACACTGGAGTCCCCAGGCTTGGGCCTCTGAACACCCCTGGGACCTGCACTCCTGAGAAGGGTTGAGAGCCACGGGGCAACATGACAGGGCAATGGGAAGGCTGTTCTGAAAGACAAACCAGAGCAAGCAGGACCCCCGACCTGGAATCCCACGTTCATGGCCAAGCCCAGGCCAGGCCACCGTCCCTCGAACACCTGTGACATCAGTGTGTTGGGGGAGGGCGAAGTACTGACCACAGAGGCCACAGGGGCCCCAGGGGCCCTGCCTGGCAAGTCCCAGGAGCACCTGTTAATCAACAGCTCACCTTAGGACTGCAGGTCAGCTTTCATTTTGAATATTTTAAACTAGATTTTATGTTACTGTACCTTTCCTTCTACTTTATAACAATTTTCAGTGCTGCTCATTTTGATATTTTTGCCATCTATACCCTGGAAGACGTACAAGATGTCTCTCACGAGAGCAGCTTCAGTAATTTCCGTAGTACCTGTAAACGGTTTGTCAAAGATAGTAATCACTATTATACATTTAATCATACATTTAATTATACATTTTCAGATGAAACACGTTTCATGGCATGATTTTGTCTGGATTATGTGTTTGCCACCAGGACAACATTTACATACTCCATAAATGAGCTTCCAACAGAAAAGGGGTACAAGGCTAGGGCAGAGGCGGCTGACAGCATTTCCTCTACAAGTCTTTTCAGAGACAGGGCCGCAGCTGCCGCAGATCACCAGCGGGCTGGTCATGCGGCAGGGGCATCCGTAAAAGTGGGTCTCCACAGAGGGGCACAGCCCCTGAGAAAGCCTCACTGCACAGAAAAGATGTTTGTGATGCCCACTGTCCCTCCGCACATCCAGAGTCAGAGATGGACCTGGGTGCTGGGCCCAAGGAGCAGGAGGCAGAGGCCTCCCCCAAGTCCACGGCACCAGAGTGCAGCACAGAGCACGGGTGTGCTGCTCACTGCAACCTTCACCACCTGTTCCTTTGGAGCCTCTCAGCTCTGCAGGGCTGACTCACCCCGCTGTAACTACGGGTCGGTGCATCTCCCCTCTGGTCTGCCCACCTGGCTTACGCTGTGCACATGGGACTCAGGATTAGCGTTCCTATGCCTTCCTCATTATGCAGCCCCCTCCATCCCCACTCCTGCTCTTTGAAGGCCACTCTGACAATGACAATCACCCATCTGCCTTACAGATAGTGTCTGCAAGATGCAGGTTTCCCATCCATTTATTTTCAACCTGTTTGCGTCTTCACATTTAAAACGTCTCTGGTAAGCAAAACATGACTGTCTAAATGGAAATGTTTTTAAAACACCTGTCTTCTAAACGAAGTGTTCATGCTCAACGGAATTCGTAATGCATCTGGCCTGAAGCAGCTTCCTTGTTTCCTGCCACATTGCTATGCCTGACCCTTTCTGCCTGCTTCTCCCAGTTTAAGGGCACTGTGCTCTCATCTTTCCATAGGTCACACCACAGGCACTGCCCAGGAGTCAGGAAGACAGCCTCTGACAGTGTCTAGACACCAGCCCAGCATCCAACCCTATCATGCACGGCCGCTGTAGGCAGGCAGAGGCTGGGCACACTGCAGCAGCCGAGGGCAGCATGGTGCCCTCATGGTTCCCCAAGACTCCGAGCCCCAGCGCTCTTGCAGGTACAGGCAGCACCTACAGTGACCTCAGAGCCATCGCTTGGTCTCCAGGATACCCACGGACAAGCACTGCTCTGCAGTGTGGTCATGAAAGACACTCGCTCACTCTGGGAACACAGCAGGACTTCAGACCTCTCACAGTGGTCTTCCTTCACATGCCCATGTGCTTGTGTGTTCAGGCACTGGCACCATCACTAGACAGACGTGGCCCTCATGGAACTCGGGCTGGGAATGAGCAGCACAGGCTTCCCAGGAGGGACAGCAGGACGGGATGGGAGAGGGATGGTGAGGAGGACGCAGGGAAGAGCAACACAGAAAGCAGACCATTCAGAAGCTGGCCAAGAGTGGCCAGCCAGGGGCAGGAAATGATTCCCCAAAGAACAAGCCACAGCAGGGACATGGCTCCAGGACACAAACAGTGGGAAGCCAGTAACACAGAGGTCCAGGTCGGCACTTGAAAGAAGGGTAAATTCTGAAAGTTAAAACACATCCTTACCACTCGAGTCCCCGTCTCTCCTTGCCCGCATCACGTTGCGGGACACAGCACTCGGGATGCCCTTGGAGGTCGGGGTTTGGGAAGAAGGCTGACCGGCAGTCAGAGTCCATGCGAGGCGTGATCCCAACTGCTGTCGGAAGCAGTCTCCCACGCTGAGGCCTTGATGGGACTGTCTAGAGGAAGGAAGTGACACTCATGTCTTCAACAGCCATCCTATTCTCCAAAAGACACGGCCCTTCCTAGAGAGAGAACTTCCTCGTGTTCCTGCCCAAAACTAGCTCACGAAAGGTGACATCGCGCTTACCACAAGGAGCACACTCACAATCAGGCCAGGCCGAGCCCAGCACTTGGGCCACACTGCAGCATGGGGACACCTCACTCTGCCCTGACACCCAGACACATCTATGCTCCGTCTGACTTTCCTCTGCACACACTGCACACATTCCCCACACAGACCCACTGCGCTATTTTCAGCTAAATGACACTTCCACTTCTCCTGGGCAGAGAGGCTTAAACACAGGGAGCCGCACCATTGGCCTGTCCTCACCTACTGCCTGCCCTCCAGCCCACGGGGGAAGAGGCACTGATTTCAGTTAACTTGGAAGAGGAGGGCAAGTGCACCTTCAAACCATTGTAGTTGTTCACTAATTTTGAGAACACCCCACGGCCAATTTTTGAAAATGGAAGCCCAGGACAGCCAACTTCTAACAAATGAACCCAACAAGTGCATCCAGAGCCACACTAGCAGGGCTGCAAACCCAGATGCAGGACTCTCCCAGGCACTGCCTTGAGGTGCCAGAGCTTCCATCAGCACCAGCCATACCAGCAGCCATACCTGCCAGCCATGAGAGGCTAGAGGACAGGGGGAAGTTTATTCTCAAAAGAGGAAAAGTCAACACAACCCTTGCTGAAACCATGTCCTTCTAAATTTAAGAGATTGATGCTAAAAGACTGCTCCAGTCCTGAGTTTTTGATTCACCTGTCTACATCGTGACAATAATCATTCCAGTGCTTGGCCAGAGCGTGAGTGTCAGACAACCTCTGCCAGGCACTGCTTGTGAACATGTGAGCTGCCCCACACAGAACATTATGCCCCACTCATCCTTCCTGCATGGTACTCCTGTTCTATCCTCTATCCCATACCCTTGCTACTCACAAAGTACTCTGGGACTGTGTGCTCCTGTGGAGACAGGTACTTATACCAAGTCCCTGTCAGTGTTCTGAAAAATACCGCGACAGGATCACCCACTTCATTCTGATTCTAAGGAATAAATAGCAGCAAGGAGCAAAGCTGATTGACAACCTCCACATAGAATGTGTACTAAAAACAAGGTTCTGAAGGTCCACTAAGGCCCCAGCATCTGCTCTTCTCAACCATGAGCCCTGTGAGGCCTCAAAATGTAATCAGATTGGACAGCAGGCTAAATTACAGAGACTGTCACATCTTAGTCCTGCACACCTGGGTCCCCTCATCTACTGTCCTACGCAGAACACACCAGAACTGTCAGCCTGAGGATAACCCAACCTTTATTACTCATACAGAGCTAGCGTGCATTGCCTCAACAACAGCTGGCAGACTCTGCCCAGAATGCTGGGGGCACATATGAGACCCCAGCCAGCCAGGAGCTCGGGACACCCACCCCCATCAGCCTGGCTGTGTCAGGAGTGTTACCCTGGGAACAGAGGCTGCGGGCCGGGCCCAGGGCCGCCAAGAGGGCATGCACTGATGCTGCTGATGCCACTGCTGCCCAAGCTGCCTGCACTGGGCACCGCCTGGGTACTCCGGTCCTGGTAGTTGAGTGGGAGCGTCTGTGGCCGGGCGTAGTAGTAGGGAGTGGAATGGGCATCTCTAGGCAAGGCCTGCGCAAACAGGGAAGCATAGCTGGACACCTGAAATGAAAGCAGAGTCCAGGGACAGGAGGTCACACAGCAGCCCCACTAGGGACAGCAGGTGTCCCCACCCGCTCTGGGACTGGCTGTGGACTGCACACCACTGGGCGACGTGCTGACTGAGATGTTTCTGAAGTCCACCAGCACTGACAGCTTTAGGAGTTTTCTCCAATAACCCCTTCAACGGCTGGCAGCTGAGCACCTTATCTGTTCCAAATCCATGTAAACTAGAAGTCAAGTAAGTTTTAGAAGTCTGATTTTTTTGACGATGATCATTTTTTCCAAATGAGATGGAATCTCAAGATCACTTTAATCTCCAGAGCATTTTTCATGTATTTATTGGTTATCTGGATGTCTGAGATACATCTATTCATTTTGGTTGCCTGTGTTTACTGAGTCTTTTAGTTTTGGGGGGTCTGATTCTTTTTTTAGTTATTTGTAAATTCTAGGTATTACTCCTCTGTCAGAAGTGTAAACAGCAAAATTTTTTCCAATTTTGTAGGCTCTCTTCACTTTCTCTCCTTTGCTGTGTAAAAGCTTTAGAAAATCAAAAATAAAAGACAGCAGGAAACAGCTGGAATTTTTGCAAATGGGAAGAGGAGCTAGAGGCAGAAAAGAAGGGGAAGGAGCATAAAAGAATTAAGATACATTAAGGACATGCACGCCACTCCCTAAGATGAATGGAAGTGTTATGTCCTACAAATATACTAATAAAACTTTTAATTTTAAAAATAATAAAAAATAAAAGTCTGGTACTGTCCCATAATGAAGAGAGCTCAGCGCTGAGGCCACAGTAACTCTGGCCCACACTGCTCACGCCCCAGCCCTGGGTGTCTGCAGAGGTATCTGCCTGCTCACAGTGCCAGGAGTCTGCACCCAGTGCTCTCTCCAACACTGTGCCTGTGCCACTGAAGCAGAAGTGGGGTGGGCAGTAGGAAGCACCCTGGCACAGTGCTGCCTGGAGACCCTGACAGCAGGGCGTACACAGCACCTCCGAGCTCTTCCTGCCCTGCTGAACGGGCACCCATGCTGACGTCTGAAATCGAACAAGCAAGGCTCGATTTAACTGCACGTTGTTGTATCAGAATAATCTGACTCTGAAACACATCTTAAGAAAACTGTAGACTGAAGAGGACCTTAGAAAAGAAAAGGAAATTGCCTGGCCTCCCAATAGACACTCACGCTTCTCCTCTTACTGTGGCATTGGCCTCACCTTGCTGGCTTGCTTGCGAGGGTCCTCACTGAGGTTCAGCAGGAGGTAGAGTATGGACCACTTATTTTTCAACACTCCCTGTTTAGAAAAAAAATTTAAATATTTTATAGAGCTCTTCACTTTAATGTTCCTCTCTTCTACATTATACTTACTTTCAAAATAGAAATGCATTTGAAAATATACCTGTTAATCTCAAACCTGTGCTCCTTTCTCGTCCCGTATACCACACGGCACACTGCAGCCTGGTGAGGCTGATCTGCACCAATACCCGTGGGCCTTTAGCTACAAAGCCCCTCAAAAGAACTACTCCCATCTACCACCCTACTTCTGAATAGCAGTACTGTCACCCCAAAAAAGTCCTTAGAAATGTCCACAGTAACCCTAAGGTAAACAGCATCAGAAAGCCCATGAAATCTTCCTTCTTTCCTGATGTCCCCTTCAGACCACAGAACAGGTATTATAACAAGAAGGCCACAGTGCAACAGTCATCTCAGAACCGTAAAGACCCAAACTCCAGGCTCTGCTCCCAAAACCTTCGCGGCCAGCAGAGCTGACCACGGGCGTGCACTCAAGGTATTACGTGGACGCCACCTGCTGCCATCGTGTGGCATGGCGTCCAGACTCGCACACCTCATGCAGCCTCACTCTGGGTACATAGGCAAGCTACGCGCGAGCACCCTCAGTTACAGCAGGAATCCCTGGACGCTGATTCACGTGACATAAAATATTCCCTGAAAGTTTCTTTGGAGTCATGGTCCAGTGGCAGACAGATGAGCAGACAAATCAACATGACAAGTGGCACTTCACAGCTCATGGAAGGACTTTTGGAGGAGGCTCGAGTCCCTGAGAAAGGACAGCCGTGAAAGGAGATAGGAACCATGAACAGATCAATCTGCCACAGCCAGGAGTCAGAGTGGAGACAGACCACAAATGCAGGGGACCTTGTAGGCCGTGCCAGGACATCCAGGTTAAGCAACACCACGGGAAGCCTCTGAGGGCTCCTGCAGGCACAAACTGTTGCTTCTGTGAGCATGGAGGGATGGCTGGAGGGGTCAAACGGGCGCTGGAGGACACTCAGGACAACAGCCACCTGAGAGAAATGCAGCTGAGTTACACTCGGCCTCACAGCCTAGAATCCCCGTATGCAGGGACCAGGGCTCTGGGGCACAGGGACTGGCTCTAGCCCAAGACCAGCAGTCAGGACCCGGTACCCCTGCTCCACACACAACCACTTAACTGTTTCTCCACATTTTATGGAGCAGTCAGTTAATAGCAGCAGCTGCCATTTAGAGGCAGGGCCCGCAGAGCCAAGTACAGCTCATTCAGCCTCTCCTGCATCACCACAGGCCATGACAGGATCACTCTCTTCACTCCACAATTGAGACAGCGCAGACCTAAATCATGTGCTGGTACCCTAACCTGCAGGCCAAGTGCAGACCAAGGCCTGCCTGAAGTCAAAAGGACACAGAGAGGCACATTCAGAGGGCAGGCCCAGGGCCTGGAGTCATGGGAGCAGAAACAGGCAAGGGCAGAATCATATGCCAAGAGGGAACAAGATGACACCAAGCTACAAAAGAAGAAATGCTCCTTTCAGCTGTGAAGACACCAAGCCATTAGTTCCACGGGGACGGTAGCCAGTGGCACAGGGAAGACGACAGAGTAAGTTCCACCTGTGCCATAATAATACACGGGTTCAAATTCCAGCTCTCACCTCAGAAAGCGTGTATGGGTGAAGAGTGATGAAAGGTCCCAAAAGGAGCACAAGTGTACACACAAAACTCAGCCAGGGTCAGTCTGCTCAAGATCCTTCATGGGCTGGTGTCAATGTGAGCCCAAGTGTGTTCCAGAGCCAGAAGTGAGAGGGCAGCGGCCAGGAAGACCACAGCCAGGGCCACCCCCAGGGTTCCAAACTTTTGGAGAACAACCATCTTAAGTTACAAAGCTCCTAAAACACTCCCCTGCAACAGTCCACACATCCACAGACACAATAAGATCTGGGAGGAAAGTCTCCATGTGGGACCCTGGCAAGGCTGTCCTGGGAAATCTGATGTATGATAAGCACATTTTTTTACATCCAAAGCACAGAAGTTATTTTAACAAATGATACTTCAGTTTAAAACAATCTGCCTGGAAATGAGTGTACCAAAAAAGTTCTTTTTCTTGTAAATATTATCAAGGATGAAAAAGCACACTTTTAACAATGAATCCAAGTAGACTGAATTAAGGAATCAACATAGCATATAAACAAGGCTGTTTTAAGCATAAAAATATAACAAGAGAGCTTACGAGTCACAACATAGGTGTTTAATCACCAGCACCACTGTGTGTACCGCAGTGGTTTTTACTGTCACACTGACTTGGTATTTGGTGAACAAAGCATTAAACCTTTTTGGATTCACTCTCTTCTCCACAAAAGAATAAGAAAGCTAGATTAATCCAGTATTGTTATAGCCAGAAATCACAAAATAGCTAACGTTGCAAATCATTAACTTACCAACATACAGACTTTGTAAAACACCAGGTTAGAAAGACCACTTGTTTTCAAGTATAGGCATCAAAACACCACAGTCTTCAGCTGCTGCTGCTCCACTAGCCCCAGGGCTATAGGAGCCAGGCCTGAGGGGCAGCTTCTGCGGTGCTTCAGGCACAACTCCCACTAACACGTCCTCCAGCAGCGCCAGGGGCCAACAGTAGCGCATGCCTAGCGCAATCTGTGCCTTCCCAACAGACCCGCTCAGCTTCACAGGCAAGAAGGCCAGAAAGCAAGCCAAGACTTCAACTTCTAACACCGTAACGCACGAAGCCCTCCGCAATGACAGAAAATATAACCTGCCACCCCGGAGGCTGCTCAAACATCCACTCCCAGGTGCCCCTCTGCCTGACCCTGCACCTACCTGTGAGTGCAGCTTCCGGTGGAGCTCAGAGAACAGCGCAGCATCCGCCTCTCTCCTCTGCCGGATAACTGCAAAGTCAGGAAAGAAACCCAGCTGTGACCCATCTATAGGGGATTCACTTTCACCCAGGGGAACAGGCAGCTCAAAGAGTAGAAAAGAATCCTGAGTGTAAGAGTCTGAAACTCAGGCAAGGGCAACTTTTCAGCTGAGTGTGGTCGTCCATCCAACCTCTGTCGTTTGTAAGATATGGAAAGTATTATGCTGGAATCAAAGCATTTATGTGAAAATTCATTAACAGAAACAGTGAGATCACTATAGTCTATCAGAAAACACTCATCAGCAGTGAACAAAAGAGCATGAGTTTAACTAGTTAATAACAGCTACTGGGAGAGGGATGGAACACCACTTGAATCCTAAGTCAAAGAGCAATCACCAAAAAGTAAAGCACTCTTGACAGTTCACCTGACTTGGAGACTATACATTCTGAACATTTCTGTTAGGACACAACACAGCAATCCATCATCTCATTTTAGTATAAAGGTACTTGACTACCATTTCAAAATAAAAGTCAGATAGCTTATTAGTGGATTTTCATCGTGTTGATGTCTTCCAGGGTCCCAGCTGCACTCAGACTACTGTATTGAAAGAAGCAGCAGGAAACACAAACTCACTCGAGGTTTGGTTCTGGGACAAGGGAGAAGCCACTGAAAAGTCAAGAGCCAGAACCACACCGCACACGATCCCACAGGCACCTCCCGGGAGACTGCTGGCCTTCTAGGAGAGGTGCAGCTCCTTAAAGCCCCGACAAGGCAACCCCTCCAATGAACCTGTTTATCCCTTCTCATGAGTGGAACTTTATGAAAACCTCATCTGCCTATCTACACTTAGCTTCCTTTTCCCCTCCCTGGACTACGATTGAACCCAGGGTCTGGAACATGCTAAGCAAGATCACTAGCACAGCCACATCCCCAGGCCTCCCCATACTCTTTCTTTAATTTTTAGACAGTCTCACTAAGTTGCCAAGACTGGCCTCGAACTTGTGACCCTCTTGTCTCAGCCTCCCAACTAGCTGGGATTACAGGCATGTGCCACCATGCTTGGCTTACATTTAGCTCTGAACATACTAATTCTAACTTGGCCAATGAGGCTGACGAAACTGATGTAACTTGTGAATTCCGTACCACTCAATTAACCCTGGCACTATGGAGAGACACAGACATACCTGGTCTATGTGGACGGCAGAGCTCACACATGGTAGCAGTCAGTTCTCCACCTCACTAGTGACAGAGCTGTGAGACACGGTATCCTCAGTCTACTGGCCCTAAGCAGTTCACAATAGCTGGCTGTGGGAATCTGTGCCCTGTGAACAACTGCCTAGAGCTGTACTGACAGTTCGCCAGGGCACTGGACACAAAGCCAGCTTCACGCAGGCGGGTTCACCAGAGGCTCACAGGGAGCACGCTGATTTCCCGGCAGGCCTCCCTTCGGCACAGCTGCAGGCCCGACAGGAGCATGCTCGCACAGCCCAGGTACAGGGAGCAGTGCCAGCCACCTTCCTCAGGGCCAGGGCCGCTTTCCTGAGGGCCACCAGCTACTCAGAGCCACACTTCCCACCTGGCTGACGGCTCACCATTTGCATGGCCTTCCTCTTAGCCGTGCACACGCTCAGGAAGCCCGGGTACCTCCGGACTAAAGCTGGCACGGCCTACAGCACAGAAGTTCAGGCAGAGACCATAAAGAGAAGCAATGACTCCTGCGCCAAGAGCAAGATGGTGCACTATGCCACCTGCTCAAAAATATGTGACACTGATGCTGCAAAGCATGGAATCAGGAAGCAACAGCAAGCATGTATCTTCCACACCTAGAGCCACGTAGCATGCTACAGCAGTACTCTGCTTACACTCTTAGTCTTACCTCTAAGAACTGAGTAGTCCTTATTTTTAATAGTGCCTGTAATCAAAATATGCTTGAGAACTGCACACATACATACACGTAAACGGGTACATACATACTAAGTTTACAAGTTTCATATTCCAACAAGTAATACTTAAGAAAAATACATACGTTCTTTCTTGATTTTTTCAGCTACTAGGAATTCATCTCTTTCAACAGTAGGGGCAAAGTTGCTGCCAATAACTCGCACAGCAAACTGGAACTGCTGGGCTACATCAGCTGGAAGGTAAATAAAAGGATGCACGTTATTACCAACCAGGTGAAGGTTCCACCACCCAGTGCTCACAGTTCAAGAGAATGGACTGGGCAGTAGTCTATTCCACCTCCCACCTCTTCACTGAGACAGAAAAGCTACTGAGAAATCATAAAAAATGAATGAGTGAAGGGGTAAAACTAGAGTTCTTTAAAACACAGAAGACAACAACAGGCCAGATGGTCAGACAAATCCTAGAAGACAGAAAAGAAACTGGATTGATAATCACTGATAAACAAAGAGCAGGAGAAGTTAGGGTCCAGACATGGAACAAGGGAAGAAAGCCCTGTCAAGAATGCCTGAGCAGCCAAAGCAATCCTGAGCCAAAAGAGAAAGCAGCACAATCCCGGATTCCAGGCTACACCACAAAGCTACAATAACCAAGATGGCAAGGCACTGACACACTGGCAGACATGCGGACCTACAGGCAGAAGAGAAAACAAGACAGTCGCATGCGCCTTTAGCATCTGGTCCTTGACAAAGGGATCGAAACAAACACGGGACCAGATAGCCTCTTCAACAAATGTGCCGGAAAAATTGTTAAAAATGAGTCTACGCCCATATCGCTTATCCTGCACTAACATCAAATCAAAATTCATCAAGGACCTCAATATGAAAACAGAAACACTAGCTCTCCTGCAAGACAACACAGGTAAAACACCTGAAGACAAAAACATAGTCCAGGACTCACTGAACAGACCCCCAACTCCGCAAGAAATAATTCCAAGAATCAAAAAATGGGATTATAACACATTTAAAAGCTTCTGCACAGCAAGGGAAACAGAGAGACCCTCAGAATGGCGAAACAATTTTACCAGCAGCTCCTCTAAGAAAGGACTGATATCCAGAATACATAACGCAAAAAAATTAAGACCCCAAACCAAAAGACCCCATCAAAACCTGCGCAACTGAAATAAATAGACACTTCAAAAGAAGAAATACAAATGTCCAATAAAGCATGAAAAATATCTAGCATCTCCAGCCATTTGGGAGATTCTAATCAAAGTGAGAGTGACCAAAAAGACAACAAATGTTAGCAATGCTGGTAGGAATGTAAACCAGGACAATCACTGTGGAAATCAGGATGGCAACGCCTCAAAAACCTAAAAATACTATTTGATCCAGCTATACCTCTCCCGAATATCTTTCCAAAAGAGCTGCATCCTGCATATTAGAATGACCTGTGCACATGAATGTTTATAGCAGTGCAATTCACAACAGCTAAACCATGAAAATGGCCTAGATGCCCTCAACAGATGAACAGATAAAGAAACTATGGTATGCAGTTTGTAACAGCTAAAACTTGGAAACAGCCCAATTGCCCATCAACTGGAGACTGGATAAAGATGTAGTTTTTCTATAAAATGGAGTACTACTCAGCCACAAAGAACAAGAAACCATAGACATTTATAGCTAAGTGGATGCACATTGAGGACATACTCTTAAGTGAAATAAGTAGGACGTGTAAATACCAAATAGCTTCTCTGGTGTGATAAACTAAAAGTGTAAATAAGGTTCCAATTGTATAACTGATAATGTGAAATAGGAAGAAAAGGCTAAAAGAGTAAGGGAAGTGGGAAGGACAGGAGAAAGGAAAGAAGGGAAAAGAAAAAAATATGAGAAAAGGAAAAAATGGAAACAAAGTCTTTGTAAATGGGGAAGGGTGGAGGGGATGAAGGGAGGGCAGGGGAAGGGGGAGAAAATGAGAACCAAGACTTGTCATGTAAAGGTTCAAGATCCAAATGATGAATGTAACTGTAAGGTATACTTAAAAAGTTCCAATAAACTTAATGAAAAAAATAAATAAAGTGATGGCCTCTAAAAAGAAAAAAGAAAAACTTTGGCATAAGTATGCAATGGAGTACTCGTCAGTCAGAAAGAAAGATACATTTTAGTAATCTGTAGGAAAATTGATGGATCTTGAGACCATAACGTCAAATGAAAAAAATCAGACACAGAAGGTTAAATATCATATGGTTTCTCTTACATGAGAAAGCCAAAATATAAATAAAAAGCAAAATAAAGGGCAGATGAGAGGCAACAGGGAAGTAGACTTTTTGGAAACAGGGAAGGGGAGGGGAAGGGGCAAAGGGGGCTCAAAGATGATTAAGATGCAATACAACTATGCATGAATTGCCCAAAACAAATTTAAGAATTACATATCATAAACATACACTAATTTTTAAAGACTGGGGGAAATTTTCTCATAAAGGAAAAAAGCTTCTGAATGGCTCCAAGTCCATAATTATGACCTAGCAAAAACGGCTGGTTGGTGTGGGCCTGCACTGGGGACACAGATGATGTTCACTTTCACTCTCTTCCAAAATGCCAATCTACAAATAAGGCAATTTGTAAAAATAAGGCATAAACCTACAAGGGCAAAGGAAAAGAAAACTGGACAGAGAAGGGAACTCTTGGTAAAAGGGAGACTGAAAGCCCTGCAGGAAGGGAGTCAGGAGACTGGGGAGGAAGCTGGGCCGCCTCCCAGTATGAGGCCGTGCCCTGGACAACTCCACCCTGAGACTGAAGGGGCCCAGGACCTGCGCTGCTCCTGCCTCCGCTTCTCAGTCTCTGTCTGAGACTCCCACACCCCAGCTGGGGCTGCACAGCCAGCCACACCCAAACACAGAGGTGAAGACATGCGAGGATCCTCCTGCCACACGCAGGCATGCGCGCAATTCACACTGCACCCTCTCCATAGTCCCTCTGCTGTCCACCCCTGGGCATAAGCCAGTGGTGAAACCCAGCAACACTGGTGGGCACCCAGCCAGGACACCAGAGGCACACTCCCAACCACAGCGAAGGAAGCACGGAGAAAGTTGAGCTGAGAGACCCTCCACACACCTGCCACCCAGGCGGAACCAATGCGAACGCCAACAGGCGCCCTAGGAGGGGAGGAGGGACAGATGCTGCGTGCCATCCCTGCCAGGACCACAGGGACTGGCTGGCTCCCAGGCTGTCAGCAGGGGCACAGAGGGGCCAGCTCTCCAGTTAGGCAGCCACCCCACGTGCACACACTCAGCTCCGCTTCCCAAAGGCTGGCCTGGGTGTGCAGATCTCCACAGAGAGCCGCGTGATGCACGGTCCTCAGACCAAGATGCGGGAGCTGGGGCTCACAGACAAGCTTCTTCACTGCAAAATAACTCAAAACTCAGAGTATGTTATCTAACGCTAACAACTAAGTAGAAATCAATGTGAACAATCCTGAAGGATCTCCCAGTATTTGGAGAAAAACCAACACACAATACACAGACCAAAGAGAAAGACTCAAGGGAAATGTTTAAATGAATAAAAATACATCAACAGATGTAGGGTAGCTAACACAACACTTAAGAGGGAAATTTACAGCATAGAAGGGAAAACAGATTTCAAATCAGTAACTAGTTTACACAAATAAAATCTACAAAAAAGTAAACTCGGTGTGCATTAGGAAATAAGAACAAAAAGCAATGAAATTAAAAACAGAGAGGGCTGGGGATCTAGCTCAGTGGCACCACACCTGCCTTGTAAGTGCAAGGTCCTAAGTTTGATTCCCAGTACTGGGGGGAAAAATAGGAGAAAAAGCTAAGAAATCCAAAGCTGAGTCCTTAAAGATGAAAGGATTGATAAACCTCAACCAGATTAACCAAAAGAAAAGGTGAAAATTCAAACACAAAAGAAGGGACGCTGGCCCTGCTAGCCCAGCTGGCCGGGAACTGGGAGGTGACAGTGCAAGGAAACTGGAGCAGCAGCACAGAGCTCCCGGCTCCCCTGCGCACATGGTGCGGGACCCCAGCCCGGTCACCAGGAGCCACAGGCTGCCTGACAGATGCTGAGAACGCCCTGTCCAGTCATGAGGAGGACAGCAGACAAATCCAAACTGCAAAGTCATCTTCAGAACTGTCAAGGCCACGCAGGGGAGGGCAGGGAAGCCTGGAGTCCAGAGCCACCTGGGAGGCTTATAGAACGAAAGCAGCGGCATCATACTCGGGAGGTGCTCGAAGACCAAGATGGCTAGGAGCTCAGCTACATCAGCACCCACACACGACTCAACAGCATCTATACCGCACCCCACAAAGGAAGACACTGACAAACAGCCAGTGAGGTGGGTGGGCCTCGAGAGTGGTGCATGCAACTGCTGTGTAAGTTTTAAACCACTGGCAAATAAAATGCTGTTTAAAAATTATACTGATGCCAGGACCAGCCTTACAATTCTATGTGCTTGTTTTCCCTTTGTGTTTTTGAGACATGTTGCTATGCAGTTCAGGCCGGCTTTGAACCCATGGCAATCCTCCTGCCTCAGCCTCTAGAGTGCTGGGATCCCCATCACATCACAGGCAGATACCACCACACCCTGCTCAACTTTATAATTCCATGCTATCAATTTTTTTAGGTACTGAGAATTGAACCCAGGGCCTTCATACTAAACTATATTCCCAGCCCTTCTCAGCTACTTATTTTTACCTTGAGACAGGTTTAAACTACACAGGCAATCCTCCTGTCTCAGTCTCCCAAGCAGCTGGAATTACAGATATATGCCGCCCTGCTTGGCCTACTGAAGTTTTTTAAAGCTCTGTTTCAACATCTTTAATTTTCAGGATAAAAACACAGCAACTTAAATGTGAAAAAGAAAAGGCTTCTTAGTAAACTGAAAAATAAATCTCAACTTACAACACACACCACCTATGAAAATTAACTCAGATGAACCAAACAGAGGAGTAAGATTAAGGCTCCTTAAGAAAACGAAAACAGTCAAAGGAGACATCTCTGTAACCTTGGATTTAGAAGTTTCTCACATGAAACCAAATTATGACCAATTTTTTAAAAATAGATAAACTAGGGCCAGAGTTTTAACTCAGTGGTGCCACTACCTGCCTCACAAGTACAAGGTCCCGAGTTTGATACCAAAAACAAAATAAAATAAACTAGGCTTCAACAAGACTAAAACGTTTTACTCTGCAAAGAACACTGTTACAGGAATGAAAACACTGAGGAAAAAGTGCTTGCAAAACACATATCCAATAAGCCAGGCATGGAGGCTATGCCCATTATCCCAGCCCTCAGAAGGCTGGGCCAGGAGCATTGCCACAAGTTCAAAAGACCAGCCTGAGCACTACAGAGTCCCTGTCTCAAAAACCATCCAACAGAGCTGGGGATTTAGCTCACTGTGCCACCGCCTACCTTGCAAGCACAAGGTCCAGAGTTTGATCTCCAGTACCAAAAACAAAACAAAACAAAACACATCCAACAAAGGGCCTGCATCCAGACACATAAAGAACACTCAATACTTGGCAAGGGGAAGGAAAAAGCAATCTGATAAGTGAGCCAGGCATGGTGATAAACGCCTGTCATCCCGCATCTGGGAGGCTGAGACAGGAGGATCACATGTTTAGGGCAATTCTGGACTCCACAGCGAAAGCCTATCTCAAAAACGAA